TAAATATTTCTTTGCTAAGGGACATACCTTAGGGCAGTGAGAGACATGCCTGCATCCTCCTCAGGACAAATGCTGAAACAGCAGAGAGGCAAAGCTCAGGCCTGATGCTAGAAAACTGAATGGGAACTGTACAAAGCTGAGTTCTCATCCAGCAGTTTAATTACCAGTGCTGTGCACAGAGTGCCTCAGAAAATGCCTCTGTTTCCACCCTGTCTGTAAAGAAAGGAAAAAATTCCTTAGCTTTCTCGAAGAACTTAGTGATGTACTCTGCTCACAGTAAGAAGTACATGTATCTAAGGAATGGGTTATGAATTTGGTTCTACATAAAAGGAGTTGAAGCAAAGTAAGCGGTAAGCACACTGCCACTCTACACGTCCCCATGTTCATTGCTCTGATAATGAATAATGGGATAAAAGGTTTTTGACGAAGCAAAACAGAAATGTTTTTCTCTGCCTCTTTTTGTGAATGTTCGTGTAAGCCTAGATACAGATGACTTTGTTACTCATTTATTGCCCTGTGAGAGAGAAAAAAATACAGTATTTGGTATGTGCAATCTTCAAAATCAAGACCAAGGCCTGCAACCTGATTTTAGACACAACTGTAAATATCAAGTAACTCCAAAGGAACTGACAGAATAATTCCACATTAATGTTAATATTATAGCTGAGACTGGAATTTCCCTTTCTCTTTTAAATTACCAGCATAGCATATGCACATTTACCTTGATTAGGAACTTCAGATCATTCCTTTCTATTACGTTTAATGTGAATGTGCAAGGTCTATGTTCTATCCGTGTCTGGTGGGTTGACCTTGAATGGACACCAGGTGCCCACCTAGCTGCTCTATCACTCTCCCTCCGCAACTGGACAAAGGAGAGAGAGAACAAAAAAACAGATAAGGATTCATGAGTAAACATAAGAGCTAGGAGGGGTCACTTACTGATTACCTTCACGGGCAAAACAGACTCAAAGTGGGGATAGTACCTACATTTATTACTAATAGGTAAGAGTGAGAAATAAAACACCTTCCACCCACCCCTCCTTCCTTCCATGTTCTCCCTCCTCCCTCCCATCCGTGCAGGGTGACGGGGAATAGGGGTTGCAGTCAGTTGTTTCTGCTGCTCGAGAGAGAGGAGTCCTTCCCCTGTTTCTGAGGGGTCCCTCCCATGGGAGAGAGTCCTTGATGGACCTCTCCAGCGTGAGTCCATCCCTTGGGGAGCAGTTCTTTCCAGATTGCTGTCCCGTGGGTCACTCCTCCATGGGGTGCAGTCCTTCACGGATGAGCTGTACTGACGCGGGTCCCCCACAGGGGCCACAAGTCCTACCCGGGAAAAACCTGCTCTGGTGTGGGTTTCCCTCTCCATGGGCCGCAGGTCTCTGGCAGGATCTCGCTCCATCCTGGGCCTCCCACGGGAGTCACAGCCTGTTTCATGCATCCACCTGCTTCAGCATGGCCTCCTCCATGGGCTGCAGGTGAGTCTCTGCACCCCAATGGTCCTCCATGGGCTGCAGTGGGACAGCCTGCTTCACCATGGTCTTTACCACCGGCCACAGGGGTCACAGCTCTGGTGCCTGGAGCACCTCCTCCCCCTCCTTCTGCACTAATCTTGGTGTCTACATTGTTATTCTCATGTCCTCACTCTGCTCTTCCCTGGCTGGAATTTCTTCTGCGCAACAATCCTCTGTTCTTAAATATGTTATCACAGAGGCGTTACTATTACTCCTAATTGGCTCAGCCTTGGCCAGCGGCAGGAAGTCTATCCTGGAGCCAGCTGGCGTTGGCTCTATGGGATAGGGGAAGCTTCTAGCAGCTTCTAACAGAAGCCACCCCTGTAGCCCACCCCACTACGAAAACCCAGCCACAGAAACCCACTACACTGTGGTAGAAGTCTTTCTTGTTCTACACCAAGATTCCATTATGCCTCCTTTTAGGAAAGAGATCATGAGTGTTAAAACAGGCTCAGTTTGTGGCAAACCTGTACAAAGTTGATACTGTCCCAAAGAGAGAGCAATCAGCTTTACTCCTTCAACAGGAGAGTTTTAGCCCTTGGCTGCTATGGCATTTTGGCCTGTGTCACACAAGTAACACAGTTAATGTTCATTACATCACTGATTATACCTAGCAATTGGCAGAGTCAGAAATTTACCAAGGGCAGCCATGTAATGTTTGCAGTACAATTTCTGAAAGGTTGGGAAAGAGAGGGACAGCTCTTAGCAAGCTGAGACCACTCTCTGAACTTTGGGAATTTTATTTGGTGCACAGGAATGTGCTGGAAAGTTTATGTAGGATTTCTGAAGAGCTCATCACCCACCATTATCAGACATGAAATCCATTATCAAGCCCTGGCCCGGTAAATGCTCAAAAAGCCCTGAAGAATTCCGTAATGGAATGCAGAGTGAGATAGTGGGGTACCTAGCAGAAGATTACACCAGAGGAATGAGCAAGAACAGCCTGATACTGGTCTCTTGACATTCCTGAAAATCTCTAGATGCTTAGAATGAAAACAAAAACAGACTCCAATTAGCCAATTTGGGAACATTTTAGCGGGAGTTTTATATGCCTTTTGACACTCCAGAGGGGAAGAACACCAGACATGAAAGTCATGCAGCAGTGTCCCAGCCTGCTGATGTCAGGATGCTATAACCATGGAGCTGCTACCTTCCCATAGTGTTGGGTAACCCTGCTCCTTTCAAAGGCAAAACCCAAAGGTGAATTACTGCAGTAGTAAGCTTTCATCTTCCTTTTAAAAGATTTGCTTGTGAGACCTTAGTCTGGGTCACTCTTACAGAGCACCAGATTTCCATGAGACATGGTTACTTCTTGCTTTTGCCCACCTCTGTCCCAGTCTCGGAATTTCAAGTGGTGTCAACTCTGACCCCCAGACTGGGTTAGCTGAATGCTATGGAAAATAGTAAGCCACATTTTAAGATGCTGTGCATGATGAAGCAGGTGCTAAGGAGGAGATGTGATTAAGAAACTGGTTTGGATGAAGTGACTGTAGACTTTTTCCACTTCTGTAACAGAGCACTTGGAGACAGGTGCTGACAGAAAATGTCCCATTGCTGAGGCCTTCCCCTTGGCTCCAGCTTGTGTAAGCTGGAGCTAGGCCAGAGTATCAGGTTGCTTTATGCCACAAAAAACTAGAACTCTGATCTGGAAAGAATTGGAACTGCCCATGGAATGCTGTCAGACACATGATCAGATAGCGATTGCTAAGGAGAGGATGATCAGGCCTCAGATACCCGAGATCAGCATTGAGAAAACAAAGTTTGCAGCCATGGCAGCAACTGTTATCTCTTAAATGTTACCCTCTACAGGGCTTGGCATCCTGAGGTGTAACGGAGACTGTTAGTCCTTCTTGTGGTGAGTGAACAGGGCCAAAGGAGCTGAAATACCTTGCACAAATCAGGAATACCTTGCACAGCTATTGCTGACTGTGGGTATCTGTGATTGCACGTACATCTGCAGACTCACGCCTCATGCAGGCACCCTCCAATCTTCTGCCTCAGTGTTGTGAAAATTCCTGGTGCCAAGCAAGAATGACATAGAAAATTTGCCTGTCGGTTATATGAAACAACTGAGGCTTCTTGGCTCTTAGCCCACATGGAGCGATTGTTATTTTCAGCTGTTTTCAATAAGCTTTGCAGTTTAGAACAAATGATCAAGATTAATATTCTGAGAAAAAGTATAAGCTTTCCTTAGTAATTAAAAAATATCGTAAAAATGGAAATATTTTCCATGCAGGGTGGAATACCTTCCAAAGAATTACAATATTAGTACCACTGGCTAATAGCCGTGAGCTGTCAATTTTAATATTCACACACACATATATATTATTTCTAGATATGGTTGCATATGTTAAGAAATTACCTATGTGCTAGTGGTAATTGAATTCTGTTATTATTGCTTTAGGGTTTTACACATAGTAACTTAAACCGTTTGCAGCCTGGAGGTGGGGTTAAAAGTTGAGGCAGAACTTCTTCAACTTTCCCTTCTCATTCTAGATTTACAGGCTCAGTTACTTGCTGCTGCAAGAGGACAACTTCTGACAACTGTTAAATGATGACTCCTTTCTTTAGGAAAGTGACTGTAATGACTGTAAGAAAGCAGTAATTGTGCTATAAGACATAGGAAATTTTCTACAGCAATCTTTCAGTACTGTAAAATAGGTCCCACAGAACAGCTTGGAGTAAAGGGAGGGAAAGGAAGAAGGAATGCACACGGTGGAACTGGAAAAGAAAGGAAGATATAAAGTAGTATTTAAATTTAGCAGTAGCTAAATGGGTAAATACTACATACAAACACACACACATACACAGGCGAGTGTAAGTTTATACACTGAAAAACTGTCAAGTGCAGAAATCTTTAAATTACAGTGTGCGTCTTTCTCCTGCTTAACTCCTGGAAGCTTGTGACACAGACCAGCAGGGATAATCTCTGTAGCGTTCTGAAAACATCTGGGAGACTAGGATGCTGGTAAATGTAAGTGAATTGGTTTTGCATACGAATGCAGTGTTCCTAGGAGAAAGAGGCAATGGTTGAGTGATACAGTAAATCTTGTATGGCACCCAAGAACCTGACATAAAGTGCTGACACACAGACAGGCTAACTCATGGTGCAAATTTGCTTAAAATATCTTACAGATTCCCTTTTTCCGTGGGGCTTTTTTGCCTTGTGTTGCACTAAAGAACCCATACGAGAGATTCTGCTCTGGCTGGTTTTCCACAGGTGTCATGGGCACTTTGGGCCGCGTCGCCCCCGTGGCCCCGCCTGCAGCCCACCAGCCCTCTCAGGTCTTCAAGTCCTTGGGCAACTGCCAACGAGCCCGTGCCCACTTCTCCCTTCTTCTTCCACCGTTGCCTCCTGAAGTTACATCTGCCTGTCTGAAGGGGTGAGCGCTGAGCGGGGCAGACCCAGCAACCGCTCCGCCCGCGGCCATCGCCGGGCATCTCCTGTGCCCCTCGGAGCTCCTCCTACCGGCGCCGCTGAGGGGGCCAGGCGTAAGGCCGAGCTTGGGGCCGCCGGGAGGTACGGGAGGGAGGAGAGGCAGCAGCGGCGAGTGGGGAGGCGAGCGGGCCTGTGTCGCCAGCGGCTCCCGAGCGCCCGCGGCTGCCGAGTCCCCCCGCCTCCCTGGCCGCGCAGCCTGCGGACACCATGGCCGGCGAGACCGAGGATCCGAATGGCCGGGAGGCGCAGACCGTCTGCGACGCCCTGGGGCGCTACGAGGACACGTTGCGGGGCGCCGTCCGGGAGATCCATGTGGACATCCAGCTGTTCAAGCAGGGGGTAGGGCGGCAGGTGGAGGAGGTGCTGCGCCTCGCCAGCCCCCTGGCACACACGGTCTCGGAGCTGCAGCAGGAGAACCGGCGCCTGCGGGCGCAGCTGGAGCGCCTATCTCGGCAGGTGGAGGCCCTGGGCCGGTCGGCGGGGCTGCCGCAGGAGTGGGCGGACGAGGCAGTGGAGAGCCCCCAGGCCGCGGGGCCCGCCTCTCCGGCGCAGGGTTCGGCCGACGGCACGTTCGCCAGCCATGCCAAGCCAGCGGTCCCTGGCCGAAGCCAAGTAAGTGGTCACGGCCGAGGAGGCGGGGGGAGGGAGGGCCAAGAGGGTACACGGATCATGCCAGATTCTGCATTGGCACGGGGGAGCGTTTAGGGACACAGGGTTCCTCTTCAGCTGTGCAATGTCAGTGGTATTTTGGGAGGTGCTCTGAGAAATGGTCTTGGCCCTGATACCACATGGAGATTTACCTAATTGTGGCACTGTTTGGTCAAACTGGGATCTTGGTTAGAGTGGTAGTAACATGTCAGTTTAGTGTGGTTAGAAGTAAGAAGAGAAGATGGGGCAGTCTCACCTGTCAGTATACATATGTATGCGAATATTTGCATATCCTTTCTGGACTCGATTCATGGGGATCTGTGTGCCAGCAATGTGGTTTGCCAGTTGGCAAGCTCACAAAGCACAGTAGCGTATAACAGGCAGTAACGTGAACAAGGCTGTATTCTCCCTCCCTCTTCCACCGCTGCCACCTGAGGTTACATCTGCACCTCTGAAGGGGTGCGCACTGAGCGAGGCAGCCCCGGCAGCCGCGCATCCTAAGACAGCATCCTGCAGTGAGACAGTTTTGTTGTACAGCCACTGTCCCAGACTGCTGCAGCTTGTCCCTGGCAGCCTCACACAAGCTGTCATGGTCTCCATGACCTAAACTTGCACAAACATACACATTCCTCCCAGTGATAAAACTTCCTGCAGTGTAGTGGAGCATTGTAATTTGGGGCATAGAAACGCCACTTAGTGGGAAGCTCATCTGGTACTGAGATGTTTTGTGTCATACTTTTTCTGTGTGCCTGTCTCTGCGGGAAGAGTTGAGATCTCCTGTGCAGTCCTTGATGCCAGGAGGGGGCAGCCAGACAGTACATTGTGATTGAGTCACATAAAACTGGAGTACTAGAGCCTTGGCTTTCACAGATGACAGTCTATTTTATGTGATCTTGATTAAGCTATGTCTTAAGGGGTTTTTAAGACTACTGAAGCTTAAAAAAAATGGTCTGTGGTCCATCTAGGCTTGGAGTTGAAAACGAAAAGCTTGGAAATTAAATTCACTAGAATTGGTAGGAACAAGCAGAGTCTGTATTGCATTCCAGCCCTTTTAATTCCTATTGACTTATAAATGGGGGCATAGGGCTTCCCACATCTGGGCAATTGAAAAGGTAAAGCTGCTGCTTGATGCGCTGTTCCAACATAATTATAGCAAATGCTGCCTTTTGTCCCATGTGACAAAGGTAAGCAGAATACATACAACTTTCAAATTGATTCCTTTTTGTTCCATGGAGCCATCCATGCTTGTTTGTATTGCACAGAACAGAAGTGAGCTGAATGATATGGAAGGGACAAGGGATTGTGGTCCCTCACACCATTCCACCTGCTCCATCACCACTGTCTGCATTGCAGTGTGTCAGTTTTCACAGTCTGTGAAAAGTCTTGCATCAGTGTTATGGCAATGTTCAGCTTTGGGTATCGGTCTGCCTTAAAGCACAGTATGAGGTTCTGTTTGGATTGGAACCTTCCTGTTTTGCTTTGAGGGTTCAGGGAAAATCACTTAAGTACTGATCGTTCTTCAGTGCCCTCCCAACAATTTAGGTTGGAAAAGTTCCCAAGCTGGCAGAGCTGGCCGAGAGGGAATGTCAGTACTGAGACCTATGGGAGGTGCAGCTAGAGCTGTACAAGCCAAATGCATGCAGTGAAAACGTGATTTTGTGGATCAGGCTCTGATGGGGCTGTGCTGAAATGGTGAAAGAGCAAACCTTGGTTGCTTGCTTTTGGTCACCCAGATTCTTTGTAATGAACAGTGTTCCTTCAGTTGCTTGCAGTTTCTGGTTATATCATCAAAGCATTTGAAACAGAGTACCATAAATGGCACTGTGTATGTTTCCGTATTTCCAGATGTTTCCATGTTTCTGAACACATTTCCATAAACAAGTACCTGTGATAAAATTGGTGACACCCCTAGTCTTAGAAAAGACTTCTGTAAGTATGAGATAAAAGAAGCAAGTAATACTGACCTGGGAATAGTAGCAAATCAAAAGTCCCTTTTGCTCTTGAAAAGATTTGTTGGTTGAATTCCTTTTTACTGTGTGGTCGATGCAGCATTAATTGGATACCAGAGATTCTGAGTATTTTCAGTGTCTGAAACATTATTTTCTAATATTGTTAGGTTATTGTTCAAAGTAATTTGATTTTTTAAAAAAGTGAATCCAGGGAGTTCCAAGCATAATTCAGAAGTAAGGACACAAATGTCCTTTTAATTCTACTCTGGGCAGCTTCTACTATGGTGTCCTTGAAAGCTGCTATACAACAGTCTAAATGCTGGTTTAGGTGGAATTTTAAATGGCCATTAGCCACTCTGATTTAGAGGTGAGTCTTTCTGTTATTTTGATACCAAATCTTAATTTGGCTCTCTAACCAGGCCAGAATCTGAGAGTTGCTTTCACAAATGTGGAAAATAAGGGATGTTTGAAGAATTAATTTCAAATTGGGATCCTGGAGCCATAACTGCACTACCGTGGATTTAGGAAGGAAAAGGTTTGATCTTTTTTTCTTGATCAGATTTTACAGTTTGGCAGGAGCTTTAAACTTACGATATTTCCATAGTTTTTGTGGTTGAACATGGTGCCTTTGTTAACAGGGAGGACTGAAAATACTGTAAGGGTGTTCTGTTTTAATACTGTCAGAAGAGTTTCTGTACAATGGGGACAGACTGCTGCAAAGAATCTGCCTGCATTGGTCAAAGCAGTAGAGTGACAAATAGCTGACTATGAACACCTGTGAAGGTCTAAACAATTTTACCCATTGGTATCTCTCTGTGGTGACCTGATGTCTTTTCACAATGTGACTTTTTTCTGCAGCAAATGAAAAAAAATTGCACAACACTGTTTCCTGCAATCTCAGTCAATTTCTCCATTGTTGTGCAGAGTCTTCTGTTTATCGTCATCACAGTGGAGCGTGTTACCTTTATCTAACAAAAGATAACACCTTGTAGATGCATGGGGTCTGTGAGGACAAGTGTGCCAAGATTGATTCAAGTCCTGCATTGCCAGTGCTCCATTTGCAGCCTTGGCTCTTGGGGTTAGGTAATCGCTCCCTTCTTGTATTATGGTCCCTGGCACAAGGAAGGCCTACTCTTGGCAGATGTTTCTAGATATTCTTCTCACTTTTGCTGCTGTTTGAAATTTAGCTGTCATGTCTGTTATCTGTTCTGACAGAGTGTGAACCTGGATGACCACCACAAACCTGAGTTTAGAAGAGTTTTTAGTTCTTCCATCATTGAAAATGGGTATCGGTCTTCATCAGGTAGGAACAGGACACGAAATGACGTAGCGCTACTCGTAAAATACCTGATTCTGGCAGGCATAGAGCAGGTCTCACGCGTTGGGAGTGTTAGAATCCACTATGGTTTCAGCATGGGTATTGTCCTGTGGCACCAATACTTTGCTTCCTAATTAGGAGTTTAATTTTTAAACTTTAACTTAGTTGTTAAACATGCACTATGGTGTTTCATAAACTAGAGGCTATTACTGTCATATTATGTTGGATGCTAGCGATAGTAAGGCCTCCTATTCTGGGTGCCGTTGTAGCTTTGCATCCCAAAACATCTTGCAGATTACCAGTCTGCTTCCATCATCTTTCAATGGAGGAAGGACTTACTGTCTGCATTTTAGAGAAAACTGAGTTATACAGTATTTCATAAAACCATTAAAAGAATAAACATGCTACCTCCTAACCCAGCGCAGGAGATGGGGAGGGAGGGCTGCACAGAGGAAGAGGAGGAGCTTACCAAAAGCAGATACTCGTGTATTAATGATATGAAGACATTGTTCCTGCTGAGATTCATGTAGAACAAGTTCAATCACTGCAATGATCACTTGCACTAGAGTTGTTTCTGCAGCGTAAATGGTACAATATCCCACAGGGAGAACAGGGTGGGATAATTTCAAGGACTTGTAAAATAAAGTTGTTGCATGGAAATTGGTTTGCAACTTTGTTACAAGTCTGCAAACAAATTTACTTCCTCTCTCCTTTTTTTTATTCAGGAAGTCAGGCAAAAGTCTGCAATGAACTGACTTCTTTTCAGATGTCAGACTCTTCTTCCCCTGAAGCCCATGCCCCTGCAGTAACCCTACAGATGCCCCACCTTCCCGTTACTGCAGTAACCAGAACATCTGAGAAGTTTTCAGGAGAGAACATCTGTTCAACAGGAACAACTAATGCATCTGCTGGCCTGCTGGGACAGAGCAAGAGCAAAAATGCAATGGCAGTAAAAACTTCCAACCAGCCAGGTAAAAGAGACAAAAATAACTTGCTGAAGGTGCATCCCATTTCCTTACTTAAACTGGTGCTGTGAGTATTGTTCTGTGACCTAGTGGTAATTCTGAAACCTTGCTTCTATGGCTTCTATGGCCATTGTGAGACACTCTAGTTTGGAATATTGTGGGTCCTAGCTGGAGCTTTAGCCTCTAATGTCACATCTGCTGAGAATTTTTGATGCCTCATATATTTGAGTTCTTAGTGAAGCCTATCTTCTGGCCCAGTTACTAAATTCAGTAAGTTACTGAATCTCTTCAACATGCCCAGCTGTCTTAATGAAATTTACAGGAGCTTTTAGTGCTTTGAGACCTGAGGCCTCTTGAGAAGTTAGGCAGATATTTATTTGGCTAACAGGTTCCAATAGTCATTTGGAGGAAGAAATAACTGACAGCAGTCTGACACATATACACAAGTCAGAGTGACTGCAGAATCTTATTTATACCTAAATTGAGGGTTTAAAAAAAGAATCATATTGAAGTCAAGCATCCTTGAGCTGTGACACTTTTAAATTTAACTATTTATATGGGTCAGAAATTACAGAGGGAAACCAGATAGAATTGCCAGCAAGAGATAGGGATTATTTGCAGATTATTCTTTCAACTTTTATCTTATTAAAGCTTATTATTAGCAAAACTTTCCTTTGTCTTTTATTTTCTGCTGATACAGTGAAGGACTGAAATTCAGTTACAATGAGAACAGTGGATTCGTCTGCCACTGGAGGTGAATGTTCTATCAGCATGCCCTTATGCAATACAGATTGAGAGGGATTCCATGCTCTTTGTCTGGGAGTTGAGATCTGAACATATAGTTCTGATTAGTAGGTGCATTGTAATATTAAAATTGCTAACAAGTCTGCGTGCAGACTCATGAAATCATGAAAACTTGTTCTACTCTATCAGATTCTCAGTCAGTTCAAAGTGAGGGGTACTTATCCTTATTTGTACATGGGTACTGTTAGACAATCTCTGCACTGGAAACCATAGGTACCAGAAAAGTGTTGCAGACAGTTTGTGCAGTGAAGATTTCAGCTGATCAGTTGCAAACTGTGACTGTACACAAGGTAATGGCAATTGGAAAACAGTGTGCCCGTACTGAAGCAAATTCCTTTGAGCAGGATAAATTGAGTAGTCTCCTTTGTAATATGAACGTGTCAAAGGACATAATGCCTTAAGGATTTCTGATTTCAGTTGAAGTAGATGAGTTGAACTCTATCCAAAAGTACTTCTGATTGATGTCACCAAACTGTTACTGTCTGCATGATATGATGGCATTTCACAGTGGTCTCAGGTGTTGATTTATTTAACAAAAGGTGTAGCTCGTCCAGAATAGGCATCACAATCTCCTCATCTTAAAACGTCTGAGATTTGCATAAATATCTGGAAATGGTTAGTAGTCATGAATTTGTCACATCTATGTGCTGGCATTTACCAGTGTGTTTTACATGAGAAAGGCAGTTGATCTGGATCCCTTCTGTAAGAAGTGGGGAGAGATCAGCATTTCCAGAGGGTAATTTGGACAGTGATCAGGCTGGATTGCTTCTAAGATGCCAGTCCTTCTTTGTATATAGAAGGAGCCTTCAAGAAATAAATTGCTGGCTTATGCAACAAGTTTTGGCTTTAGTGTGTAAAACTGGGCAAGACACTCCATTTTTCTGCATTTGTAGGGCACAGCTAGAGTCCAGAGCTGGGCTCTAAGTGGCAAAGTACTAAAGATAGAAACTCAGAGGTGGAGGGAGGAAGATGCAACGTTGTTTTTGAGCCACCTTTATAACTTTTGAGTCTGTTCTACCTTCCAAACTAAAATGTTTCCTGGTAGAAGTTAGGTAATTTAAATTATACTCTGTTATGTCAGACTCCCCAGAACTCCCCTGTGTCTGCCAGAATGACTTTTACAAGGTGAGCTGTAGCATCTTTTCCTTTTAACTGAAACATCCATGCTAGTGTGCCCTCCTCTGAGTTCTGCCCAAGGCCCTGAAATGATCTGACCTTCCCAGTGCAGTTTTATCAAAGGCATCCTCTCACAGTCCTTTCTGGTATGTTTACACCACCCACACTGCAGTGCAACAATTTTACAGAGGAATTGAACCCCTGAGGAAAACCCTTGCCCAGCTTATTAGCTCATATGACAGTTAGAGGCCTGCAGCTTTTCAGCGTGGTGAGTAAAAATCAGTGTGTATGTATCTGTCAGGAAATTATTTGAAAGCACATGAGGAAAGTTTCTGCCATAATGCGTCTTGTCTCTTCTGCTTTTATACAGAGAATGCCACTTCTGTCACTAAGTCTGTCTCAGCTGTGAGCTATGGGATACAGAGTGGAACCAAAACTGGTGAAAGGTACGTATTTCTCATGACATTTTATTAGGCCATTGTAGTCAATATAGTCTCAAGGGACAGGTATTCTGCTGGCTTGGAGAACAGGTTAGTCCCAGATAACGACTGGAAGTATAATTGTACAATAACCTACTTGCCCCATTGTCCTACATTAACCTACGTAATAGTTTTAGGTATGTACTGTGTCCATCTACATGTAAACAGGCATATTCCTCTTAACCACTCTTCTACTTTCAGGGAATAACCAGTCGGTGACTACTGGAATAATCACACTATCTGTACTAAAACGATCCTACTGATGTACATAACAGTTTTCATTCAACACAGCAGTGCCAGTGTACACCCCGAGTGTTCTCAGGTGAAGCATAGCAGGTATATTTATTGATCATACTTCTCATGGACAATCAGCAACCTGCTGTATATATGATCCTGTATGTCTAGTTTCAGGACCATTCATTCTCCCTAAATCCCTTGCACGACTTGCCCTTTTGTGCCTTTGATTCCTCTATCAGACCCATATCTTGATTAATCCTAACACCTTTCTTTTCACAACACATCCGGTGGCTGTACATCAACATCTCGCCCGTGATCACAGCACTGCATAACCTTAGCACTTTTGGCTCTTTTCTTTCGGAGGCTTCTTCAGGCTGTACCGAAGAACAGATGAGTTCCTGATGCTATATTATAAGCCTATCAAAGGCTGTGAGCTTTCCTGTGGGTTAAGTGGAACAGACATGAGAAAGGATAAAATTTTGTAAAGCAGTTTCAAGTAGACCTTGTCGTGGATTTCCACATTATTACAGCCTTAATCAGGAAGACTCTCAGTGCCTGCCACTAGTGGATTTTTTTTTGGAGGAAGAAGTTGTCAGGCCCTTTGAAAACACCTTTAAAAATACCCAGCTGTGTAGAAATTTGTAGTTTGGACTTAATTTTGGAAACCCACAAATGACTATCAAATATCCTTAGTTTGGCTAGCCTAGAGTTTAATTTGTAGATAAGTGCCTTGCTGAGGACTACTACACATTCTTGATTACTTCAGACTTGCAGTTGCTTAGTATAGGATTACATGGTATCACGATTACTCCTGGCGTATCCAGGCATTCTCAGCATGCAAATTATCGATCGAGAAAAATGGGAGAGCAGCCAGTTTAAATCTTTTAAATTGGGCTTGCATCTGCCTTGAAAAAAATCCCAAATCAGGCATTACATTTCTTTTGAGGTGGTTCCAAAATCAGCACTTCCATATCTGAGTCATACGCTGAGCACGCAAGAGAACTCGGTGTTATCCCTGACCTCGATCTGTATTAAAAATTGACTAGTGACACTGATGTGTCACTTTTTGCTCTTTGCCTGTTTCCCCATCTCTGTCATAGGGAATGTTTCCAAGTGCAATGTGTGGCTTACTTTGTTAATGCTGATGAAGCATTTTAGGGCTCAAATAAATTAGAATATAATCCTATATTTCTTGATGAAATTACTGGCTTACAGTCAGTGAAGCAACAGTGACATGAGCTCAGAATTCTCGTACTGTAAGCAAAAATTTCAAAATGACTTCCTGAATTACCCTTAAGTTTCATTTTTAGAATGTGACTTACTCTCCAGGACATTTCCAGTTGGAAATTAAAGGGCTTTAGTCCTCCTGTGTGGCCACAACTTTTATTTTTCTTTTCTTTTTCTCTTTATTCTTAAAGATGTTTTAATTGTTGTTCTGCTCAGTGGTACAAGGTGCTTGTGACTTGTCCAGCTGTGTCTTATTTGTAATAATACCTTAGAGTCTTCTATACTTAAGTGCTATTGTGTGTCTATAAAAATTTGACTTCTATTAAAAATGCTTTTGACTCATTCAAGTCCTCTTGAAATGACTCTTTTGGGAAGTTTAGTGAAGGCAATTGAACCTTTGTGCTGACTCCTGGCACTGCAGAGTTAGTCTTTTGTTTAACCACATCCTTTTCATGTTCTGTTTCTCCAGTGCCACTGATGGTTATTGTGAAGTGCCCCCTAGCTCTCACTCCTCTCCTCCCACTGTGCATCACCCAGTTGAAAGGAGACGGGAACTAGTGCGATCTCAGACGCTCCCACGGACTTCAGGAACTCAGGCCAGGAAAGCACTTCTTGAGAAATTTGAACGTGATGATGCAAAGTACGTCACACTCCTTGTCTCTAGAATAGTTTGTTAATGGGAAACGGATTTGTTGATTATTACCAGCAGAGTACAGCTCGGTGGGTGGACTCTTTCAATGTAAGATTTTGAGCTAAGGGACAATACAAGGTCACATAAAGCTTCCTTGACTTCACAGACTGAGCTCTGTAAGTTCACAGCTACAGATTCCTCTGGCTTTGGAGTTGTTCAGCTGAAGAAGCAGGTGCCTTTATTCAGGAAAGAGTTCTGTGAAATCTGCCTTCTCTATCAAGAGGCTGTGAGTATAGTGACTTTCTGTTGCCATTCATTGAGGACCTGAAGTATGGACTCCTCTTTATGCACCGTGATGGCAGTATGATTTAAATAGAAGAAGGCCTGGAATCCTGGCTTTAGTGAAATAAAAATTAGTTTTTCTTGCAGGACCAACAAGTCAAAGTTTCAGCAACATGTTTCTCAAATATCACCTGGACAGGGGCTGACCAGGGCAAGGTTGCATAGATGTTCCTGACAAGTAGGTTTAAGTTTTTCAAGAATGTAACTTATTCTGGTCTCTGTTAATTTTCAGAGGAAAAGGAGAATCCAGAGCTAAGCTGAAGAGATCGCTGAGTTTTGGGGTTGCCAGCGCTAGCAGCATTAAACAAATTCTCTTAGACTGGTGTCGCTCAAAAACCATAGGATACAAGGTATCCAGCACTTTGGGCTCTCTCGTTTTTCAGGAGAATTTGCCAAAAAAATATACTCAAAAAGTAAATGTAAAATATGCTACACAATGAGTTAACTTCCTCAGGGTCATCCGTTTTTGTGTGGGTAACGCAAACGTGGTTTGCATGGGCAGCACTTCAAGGCAGTGATTGCATGAGTGAGATTCTGTATGTCCATTAAAGCAATGCATTAGTGTTTTTCTGAAAGCCTACATTTTTGTGCTTATGGAGATAGACTTCAGTATATACTCATATTTTTTTTTCTTAGTTGCAGGCTGTGATTTTTGCATTCTTATTATATATGGAAAGTTCTGAATAACATTTTGCCAGTACATGGAGACTATGGCCATTTTGCTATACAGCAGACCAAAGTACTCTCTATCACCACTAGATAAGTGAATTTGTAGTAAATGGTTGAGTTTGAACCATGAGCAAATTTTTATGAGGTAATGTCAAGTGTAACTAAAATAATACAACAGTTGAGATTTTATTCATTTTACTTGACCTTAAACTGTAATTACCAAAGCAATTTCCAGGTGAAATAGATTTTTTCTAGGTTTATTTGTGTGTATAGTATGTTTTTCAACATTACTATAAAAGGTTGCATAATTATTGCTGAACTGTACATTATAGTATACAAAGTAGAACTAATGAAAATTACCGTTAATTGCTTACTAGAAAAGCTGGGGCTTCAATTTTGTGATGGGAAAGCAGCATGTGACAAGAGCACAAATAGGTTTCTTTTTAGTGTGGCAGTTGAAAGTAACAATAAGGATTTGTTTTAAGAATCAGTTTTTGCACTACGTGTAATTCTTCCCATATTTCTGCCTATCTGTGTGTAAACAGGCATTGAATTGGGCAAAGCAAGCAAGCATAGTCCTTGTCTAGTGTTATTCTTGCCAGAAAATGAACTGTTCTTCAATTATAAATCCTTCATAAGGTGATTATGTTTATATATAAGCAGTGTCCTTAGTTTCCACAGATACTGAGCTGGTGCGCTGGGCCTGCTCCAGAGCTCACTGATGTTGACAACATTTTTCACAGTATTTTCAGTGGGCTTTGAATCAGTAGCCTTGATTGTATGTCTGCTTTGCATCTGGGTATTTCAGGCAAAAGGCTTTCATTGCTAAGTGCTCTGGTTTTTTCCAAGAATACCAATAATGCAGTGGATAGGGATGAAAAATATAAAGCCTATACTGTGTTGCTTTTGTTAGTGGGAGAGAAGAATAGAAAATGGCCCTGAGCAGAAGCAGATGCTTATATTTGTTCCACCGTGCAACATTAACGTTTGATTTTTTCATCATGACAGCACATTGATCTCCAGAACTTCTCCTCAAGCTGGAATGATGGGATGGCGTTCTGTGCTCTTGTGCATTCTTTCTTTCCTGAAGCTTTTGATTATAATAAGCTTGACCCAGCTAATCGCAAGCAAAACTTTGAGCTGGCCTTCACCACGGCTGAGTGAGTATCACATTAGCTCTCTATGAAATGCTTCCATTTCAAGTCTAATGCAGTGGGCAGCAGTGAAGAGTTCAATTACTATTCTTGTAGAACCTATATCACTGGCTTGCATGTGTCATGCCAAAAAGGATAGAGAAATGCATAGAGGAAACATAGAACTTGTGGGAGACTTCACCTCTATACATTGCTTTGGTTGAACAAGAATGAAGGTTGAATTCATTGTAGGTAGAGATGAAGGCTGAAATCTTCTTAGTGTCTCGACCAGGTGACTGCATTTCTGAAAACAGACAGAGCTAATACCCTCAGACACGTTGTCCTGTTTCTTTTTGATGCTGTATAGCATCAAATGCTAACTTGTTTGTTAAAATCATAATGAGTGCAAACTTGTCAGTCAGAAATAGTAACTTTCTTGAGCTAGTGTCAACATGATTCTTAGAGCAAGAACATCTGTATACAGCTGGGTTTGGTACATTTTTTCCAAATACTAGCAGGCAGTGGGAATACATGGCTAATGCAGCAACTTACACAACTGAACTTGCTATTTGCCATTCAGAAAAAAGCTTTCAAAATTCTGAGCATAATGTTTCTATTTATTCCAGCCTTCAGCAAAGGAATTCATTAGGGAATTACAAGGGGTTTTATAGGCACACATATATGTATATTTATCAAAAAAATTTGTTCCTTGTCAGTGAGCTGAAAGTTATTGACCTCTAAAGTAAAACTCTTGAAGGAAAACTGTGGTGTTCTACCTCAATATATGTGTAACAGTAAGTATAGGGGAGAACAGAAGACAACATGCACACAACACTAAGAAACATTAGGTAAGAAGTATCTACAGAAATTACTATTCATAGCTGTGATTGCCTTTAAACTGTTTTCTTCAGGTGCCTATTCTCTCAGTTACTGCTGTTCAGCCCAGTATGAGCTCTGCTGATCAAATTGCTTCCTGCCTTTGTGATTTTTCATTTAGGCCATGGCAGGTCTAAATCTGTTCCTTTCTGCTGGTGCAGATTCAGTCAGGCTTCTGCTCTCCAACCTAAGCATCTGAGACTGATGTCCTAGTCACTCACATCTTTAAGATATAGAGGTGGTAGAGAACAAACAATTCACAGCCACATGGGCCTTCACTAGCACATCTCATCTCTTCCTATGTTTTTCCATTCTTTTGGAACTTCCTATATATTAACCAGAAGCTGAGACACGGGCAGACTAATGTGAAATTGGGCTACGTGGTAGAGAGATCAGGAATGTGAATGATAGTCAGTGAAAAAAAAAAAAACAACCAACCTGTACAGGGACTTCGGATCAGATCCCAGTATAGAGGAAGGAGGGAAGGGAAGGAGTATAGAGGAAGGATCCCAGTATAGAGGAAGGAGGGAAAAAACAGGAATATTGCATGCTCACAAAAATAACAATATCTCCAACCTGACCTTGCTCATTTCATTGTGAAATGAAAGACTGCTGACAAACCTCAGGATTTCGTAAATGTTTCAGTGATGCTCAAATCAGAGCAGCAAATGAATCTTGGAATCAGCTACAGGCCTCATATTTAACTCTTGATATGCTGTATCTGGTTTATTATTACTACAGGAAAATGGCTCACTGTGACCGTCTGATAGAAGTGGATGACATGCTGATGATGGGTCACAAGCCAGACCCAATGTGTGTCTTCACCTATGTCCAGTCTCTCTACAGCCACCTACGACATTTTGAATAAAACCATCGACACCTCTCCAGCTAGAAGGGTCAAGTACAGTATGCTAATGGGAAGAATGGCATTTTGCAAATGGAGTACAGTGGTATTTCTTGCTTGTTACTGTCTCTTTGCTTACATTCAACTGTGTGGCTGGCTGACTGAAGTGTTGCTGAGCAGTGCCCTGAAGTGTTGATCACATCAACATGTATGGAAATAGGTTTGAAAAAGACAAAAGAACATAGGCAAGGGCAAATGCTGTCATTTTGGTGCTATAGTAGGTTGGATTTTTAATATTTTTATGAATAAAGATCACAGGAAGCTGTTTTGCTTCTCTTATCTCTGTAAGGCTGGGAACACAGTTTTATGCAGTGACAAGTAACTCTGTTATGAAGGTGTTCCCTCTTAAAATGCAGGTAAAACTCGAGAAGATAGCACCTTCACTTCCACTTCTCTGTTGGGCATGGTACAAAAGAAATAGCAGATGGACAAGGAATATTCTGTTTAGTAAATAATAACCTAGAGTACTCAACCAGTAGGGCAATATTGCCTCTCCTGCAACCCTGCCCCTCTACCCCAGCACACACACACACACACACACACACACACACACACAGAGATCAAACAGGCATTGTTTTGTTCTCTTAAAACATAAAGAACACAAAAACTCTGGTCTGATGCCTGTGGTGACAAATAACTACCAAGTTGCACACCAGCGTTTGTCTGTAATGCTCACATCTAAAATTATTTGCTTAGAGACATGTTAAAGCCTCAACTGGCGTTCTTGGATTAATTTCTTAATCATGAAGAATGGCAACAGCTGTTCTGTGTGTGAGATTGTGTGCTTGCATAATTTATGATTAAAAGACAGGTGGGAGCTGGCAAGGTACAAACCTCTCTGAACAGTTGTAATAGAAATAAGGCTGTAATGTGCTTAGACAGGGACTCTGTAGGAAAGCAGCTCTCCAGGGTGGATGTAAGTGAATTCTCTACAACTCGTTTGGTCCTCATGCTGACCCAGAGGTAGACAGACAATACACCAAAAAAGTACAAAAGATATCAGTGTCTTGAAATGCCTTGTACTACTTTCAGTTTTCAGTTAAATTAGCATTGAAACCACGATACAGTTCGATTATTCCAGATTTACTAGACAAAAGGATCATGTGTCACTCTTTCTGGCTTTCTTTTTGATAAAGCAACAGAACCTTGTTTTCACAGTGAATGTTAAAGTCTAAACCACTCAGAAAACATACTTTAAAAATGCCTTTTAAAATTATTTCTTCCCTAAGAACAGGCTCATAAAAAGTAAAAACTGAAAGCCAGAAGCCCTCTGCTCATGCTAGAGAATGTTTTTTTAACCTGCACTTGTGCTTTTTGTAGACATTTATAAAGATTACTTTGGTTCTGTATTGATGACCATTTACAATAAAATATGTCAAGCCCTCTTCAGATTTATTGCATCTCTCTAGAATGAAGTGACAGGTAACGAAGTCAAATCAGTGAAAACTACACAGAGCTTTTGCTTAGAAGATTTTAGTTCTATTCATGATGTTCTATGCTCTGAATTTCAGTTTTAAAAAGTACAGAAGTTCAGTTGCATTTGGAATATGATTTCAGTTCAGTCTCCCTTTCTAGTCAGGTTTTCTTCAGAAACCATGAATGAAGCAACCATTTTATTAGCAGTCTCAGGAAACAACAACAAAACCACCAAAAGTGTACTGAGGCAAAGTATAAGTTATCTGCTCTAGGTGTGTATCATCAGGTTCTGTTTATAGTGTAGTTATGCTGTTGCTGTGACACTATGGAAACTGTTTGAGAGACTTTTAAATACATATAATAATATAAAGAGCCAAAAGATACTTAATCAAATTAGCAGAATCCTTGGTACTGTTAATCTCACAGCTTTCATGCAAGTGGACAGAGATATGGTGGGCTGTTCATATTAGTCATGTAACGGCCATTGTCTTGAATAGCCATAATTCTGAGGAGTAAGTGTGCGCCTGGAACTCTACCAAATGCCCTGTAAGGAGAAACACACTGTACTTAAGGTTTGGAGAAGTTTGGATTAAGCATGATGAGAAATCTGTCCATGGCTGCCACACACAATACACCTATTTACATTCTCACAGCAGAATACTTTTTATTGACTAGCAGAGCCAAATTCCATCATAGCTACCACAAGAGGAGCAATACTGGCTTTATACATTGCATTTTTTCACAGTCCCAAGGCATGGATGATTTTACTGTACAATATGAGTGCTAAAGTCACAGGTAAGTGCTTGGCCAATTTAGGCCTAGTAGCATGTAATTATATGAAGGAAGTTTTAGACAGTAAAATTATTGCCAATTCACCAGGGTGAATTTACACCCTTTCTGTAATTTAGCTTTTTTTCACAGCTACCCAGAAGGTCTTTGTACAGGTTTTCTAAAGTCTTCCCACTTCAAAGAGGTGATGGTAAAGATACCTGGTACTTGCCAGCAAACTGATTGCAGGAAACTGGAAAACTGTAAGCTGAATTTAACTGTTGGTGTTTCATGTGTAAGAAGATGAAGGAGATAGTGCTATGACATAATTTTAGAAGAACTTACAGCTTTGTGCATTAAGAGATCTGATTTATATGAATAACCTCGACTACTTGATTGTATGATTAAATTGAAATTAAAGTATATAATGTGTGCCCCAATGGATTTTCAGTATCTTTATTATTTAAAAAAATGCAGAGAGCATGTATGTACATATGACAGTAAATGTGTTTAGCATGAGTAATAAAGAGAACAATATATTAAGTTGGCATAGTATATATTTTACACAAATGGACTACTTCTTAGCTTTTCTAGTGTTTCTGCACTGTATTTAAAAGTGTCTAAGGTTGTTTATTGGCAACTTGATTCTGCTTTTAAAGGCTAGATTAGTTTGTTCTGTGCAGTATTTTCAAGGTAATGGCAGCAGAGGCATCATCTACTTTTTAAGATTATGTTTGTGTACAACTTCCCCTAGGAAGGTCCTCCTCTTTGAAAGTATAATAATTGGATGGATGCCTTTTATCACTTCTCCCTTTGTGTGACACTTGCAATAAAGTGTTTAAACATATGTTCAAACTCTTGCATACATGTAATTAGTTCTAAAACTAGCCTACAAGGTTCAACCTGTGTCATTAATTTAAACCTGGCCTGGCTTACAGGGATAGTTTTAAAGTGTCCAGAATAAAAGATGGGATTGCTTTGCATAAGGTGCACTTAAAAGCCACTTTCAGTTATGTTAAAATAGCTCTGTGTCTAGATAAAGCCTCAGTGGAGTTAACTTAGGATCATAGAATAGTTTGGGCTAGAAGTGATCACTGTGGTGGTCACCTAGTCCAAGCCCCCCTCTACAATAAGCAGGGACATCCAATCCAAACCATGCTATGATTCTATAATCTTTAGCTTGATCATGTTGCTCAGAGCCCCATCCAAACTGACCTTGAATGTTTCCAGGGATGGGGCAGCCACCACCTGTCTGGACCACCTGTGCCAGTGTTTTGCTACCCTCATTGTAAAAAAATTCTTCCTTATAACTAGTCTAAATCAACCCTCTTTTAGTTTTAAACCCTTAACCTTTGTCCTGTTGCTACAGGCCCTCCTAAAAAGTTTGTCCCCATCTTTCTTATAAGTCCCTTATAGGTACTGAACGGCTGCAGAAAGCTCTCCCCTGAGCCTTCTCCAGGCTGAACAGCCCCGGCTTTCTCAGCCTGTGTTCATAGGGGGCCGGCTCGCGGCAGGGGGCGGGGGCCGGCCTCGCGGCAGGGGCGGGGCCGGCTCGCGGCGGGGCGGGGGCCGGCTGCGCGGCGGCCGGGCGGCGGGGCCGGCTCGCGGCCGGGGCGGGACCGGCTCGCGGCCGGGGCGGGGCCGGCTCGAGGGCGGGGCGAGATCCGTGTTGTCCGTTCGCGCAGCCGGGGCGGCCAGGGGGCCGTTTTTTTCTCCCCCTGTAAGGTCGGTGGAGGTTTTCGATGTCAACGGTGACTTAAACCCCGAAAACCATCTGAGGTAAAATTAGAGTTTTCTTATGTCGTATAATTCATATCGCAAAATCAGTTGTTTCATATTAACAGTTGAAAAGGAAATAATAATGTAAGTTTCATATTAACAGTTGAAAAGGAAATAATCCTTTACGGTAGCTGACAACGAAGAATAGCTTTACAGAATTATAGAAACAGTATATTCTGAGTTGGAAGGGACCCACATTAATCATCAAGTCTAACTTTTAAGTAAATGGCCTATACAGGGATCAAGCCCACAACCTTGGTGTTATTAGCACAGTGCTCCAACCAATTGAGGTAATCTCAGGTAGTTTAGGGTTGGTTACTTTAATTCCTTTGTCACAGTGTTGCTACAAACTGGGGCAGGACAACATCAGATCCTAGGTTTTCAGAACAAAACATCATGAAGTCCCACCAGAATCACAGTAATGTGGAGAACCATCTCTTGGGGGTTCCACAGCTTTCAAGGTCACTGAGCTCGTTACCAGAACTGTGACATTCATTATTCTCAATGGCCATTCAGATATCTTAGCATTTCAGTTCATTCTGAATCAGTCATCCCTCTTGAATTTGCTAGTATTTCTAAAAGCTTTGGAATGTTACTGGGAACACAGATAATAACATTTTGTGGAAGATGACTAACATGCAGCCTCATCCATCCTCTGTGACTCAGGCGAGCCAAAGTAAACCTGTGTTCAAAGTAGCTTTGAGTTCAGATGTACTGAAGTCTTTGAAAATTTTTCAGTTATTATGAAAAGGGCTCCGGTTCCCGCTCCAGCTATTAATTTGAAAAATAAATTACTGCTTTCTACTAACACATTTTAATATGTTCTGTAAATAATCCGTAAAAAAATTCATTAGGAGGAAAAAAGATCTAGACCAAAATCATCCATTGATTCTGAATGTACAAATCAAACAGCCCATAGAAGCATTAGCCTTTTGTACAAATAGTTGCAGACTTCACGTGTACAGTGCCATATAAATTGATTTACAGGTCTGCCTCAATTGTGGCCTTTGTAATTGATTCTAATTACTGTTCAGCCTCATCGTTGTTTTGCTTTTCCTCATGAATCAGGAGCATGCTGTGTCTATAAGCACAGCTTTCCATCCTTCTGCATCAGCTAGCATATATTGGTCATTTTGCTTGCTGATTTTGCACCCCATTCTCTGCTCCTTCTTGAATCTCTTAAGTCCTTCTCTCAGGCTAATGGCTTCAGTTCTGAAGTTAACCCTGTATTCTGAAGCCTGTATTTTCATTTTACTAACTTTGAAATACCTGCATTTTTTCTGTAAGACAGTGTTTCTTCAGCTAAACGTCCTTTTCAGTACCTGGAATACATGCAGATTTCTGTTTACATGTCAGGTGGCACGAAAGGCACCAGAGTTACCAGTTTTAATGATCACTGAAATACAAGAAAGATAATTAGCAGCTTTCCAGCTGTCACTGCACTCTATTTGCAGCCAACAATTGCAGTTGCTTCCCGCTTTCACATCTTGGACCATCTCAACTTCCCTTGACCAGTGCTGCTTGCTTTTTTATCATTGTGTGACCTCTTTGCATCTTGTCGGGTTTCACGTTGAGAAGCCCTACTCTCATCTAAACTACAGCACAGCTACACGAAGGGGATATAACTGCACAATCTGATGTCATGCTCTTTATCTCCTTTCATCTCTTCTGTCTGACTCCCAGTATTTTTTCTCCTAGGCAAGAATATAGTCGCCACAAAGATGGAGCATACTACTAAGAACATTTTATGACTTACATTGTAGATAGCTAGACATTTAACACACCTCTCATTTGCTTTCACAATCTTTATGCATTTCTGCTATAAAACAATCCAAAATTACTGCCTGCAGTCTGGGACCTCTTTCAAAGTAATGTACAGAGAACAGGATTTTTTTCCCAGACAGATCTTAACAGGGAGTAGGGGAAGCGCCAATGGGTTGTGTGTGCTGTGTCCCCTCTGGCCAGTGCTGCAGCCTGGGAACAGGGTGGGTGTAGTTCCCACAGAAGCATTTGTTTACCTTCTGGGTTGGTGGAGCAACCTGCTGCAATATTCAGGTGCACATTTAAAAGGAAAATGTGCTGCAGAGATTGAGGCTGGAAGACTCCATCCAGTGAACTGAAGATGTGGCATTTGGCCAGGGTTTGGACTTGAGGGCAGAATCAGTCAAGAGGTCTGTGAAGGAAAAAGGGGTTGTTTGAAAGGTACCTGTGCTGGAGGGTGGGCAAAACTGTTGCCGAGGAGTAGCTGTGTGCATTTGCAGTGAGGAGCAGTCCCAGGAACAGTGGATGAGCACAGTGCAAGAGTAGGAAAATTGATAATCAAACCGTTTTGCATAAATTCAGGGCATTGGTTTCACCCTACATTAAACAACTGTTCCCGGTATGGTTTGTTCTTTGTTCTACTTTAGCTCTTTCTGGGCTTTTCCATTTCCTCATTTGCCTTCAGCATTTCAGGTCCTGTTTTTTACACTCTCTCCCCTGCCCCTCCCAAATCATCATTAGAAAAAAATCACCTGGTCAGGCATTGGAACAAACTGCTCAGGGAAGTGCTGGAATCACCATCCCTGGATGTGTTCAAAAGGCCTGTGGATTTGGCTCTTGGGGATGTGGTTTAAGTGGTGAACTTGGTGGTGCTGGGTTAACAGGTGGATTCCGTGACCTTAGAGGTCTTTTCCAACCTTAATGATTTTATGTTTACATTCCTTTTAACAGTCTAGATTTCATCCATCTCTCCAGCCATATTCTTGAAAAGTGTTTACTTCTCCAACCTGTGGGAGACTATTTATTTTTTATATTTGTTTCTTTTTTCTCTATTTTCTGTGATTGCTTGTTTAGTAATTCCATCCTCTTTCACAGGTCTCCTTTCCCTTCTCCTTCCTGTTGCAGACAGTCCATCTTTTCCTCTCAGTTCCGCTTCTTGCCTCCTGGTTTCCATTCACAAATTCTTCTGTTTCTTCATTCTTCCACTCCAAACTCTTTTGCCTACACGTCAGTAAAGCCTTGGGGGAGCCTTGAGCAAGAAATCTATTCTTTTTATATCTGTGTCATTTTGCATATAAAAGAATATTTCTCATCCTGATGGACCTGTCTTCTCCTCTTCTTGCTACTGCAGCCAAATATAATGCTATTGCTGTTTTCAGGTTCCACATTCCAAGAACTGACCTGCATTATATTCAGAAACTTTCCAAATAACAATGGCCAGACTGCTGCAAGATCCATCTAAGTTCCATCCCTCAGAATGGGCTACTGCAAACATGATGCAGCGTGTCAGTACAGAGTCCCAGAAATCCAGGTCGGAGTGCATGATAGCTGAGAGTTGGCGGCTGGTGGATGAAATAGAAAAGACAACGCAGAAAACCCAAAGTGATGTCAACAAGAAAATAGGTAATCCCATGTGTTCTGCAAGGGTCAAGTTGTGCTATTTGAGCTATAGGTGTAAGATGGACTTGAAAAATTAGCTGATAATGAGTAGGAAAATATGTCAATGTCATGCTTGCTGATCTCATGGAAAAATTAAAAATATTTTAAAAAATATTTTGAGGCAGATTCTTTATAACAAAAGCCTCCTGATGGAGCGTTGCAAAACTGTTTCCACACAGCAGCCCACAGGACTGTATGCACTCCATTGTGGAATAAGTCTATTTTTAGCCATATCTAAGATCTGAGCTACAGTCCCCATGCATATAAGATGGACTTATATTAATACATGTTTGCAATCTCAATTCTGCAGAACAGAGACGGGAAGAAATAAAGTTCTGGAAGCAAGAACTAGATAACAAGCTAGAACAAATTGTTCATGAGACAGAGGTACTGTTGACTTCCAAGAATCGGCTGGAGAGAGCTTTGGAGAGCTGCAAAGAGCCACTTGTCATTGCCCAAAAGTGTCTCCTGTACAGGTGAGATGATTAAGAAGAAAAGCATTCAAGGAGAGAAAAAAAAAATCTAGGTAATAAACCTTTAACAAATAATTAAAAAGGATACAAACTAAGGACCTGTCTCTCTTTGCAGTGAAGTCATGGTCTGTTTTAGGTGTTAAAACAATGGGGAATCAAAACCATTAAGATGTGGCATGTCTTCCCATGTGGCAAGGAAAAACCTTTGATTTATAAAGCTGGGCTTCATCATCCGTTAGCTGCAGGCATTTGACCAGTATGGCTGATAGCTTTTACTCTTTTCATTTAGGCAGAGGCGAGTTGGAATTGACTTGGTGCATGATGAAGTGGAACAGGAACTGGAGAAGGAAGCTGAAGTCCTCCAGGGAATTATTGCTTTGCTGGGACATACACTGGAACAAACCAATGAGCAAATCAGGTGCAAAGGCAAAGAGCATAACAGAACACTGATTAGCTGATAAGTAAGACAGTCATAATCCTATGAAGTTGTAGGGTCAGGCTGAGCACAGGTCCAAAGTTACCTTTAATGCTAAACAGTTGCAGGAGGTCAGTCCTAATTCATAGCACTCAATCAGTAATGGTGAGAGGTTCTGTTTGTTAGAACTCAAAGTACTTGCATGTGATCCTTGGTCTTCTCATGATCCAGTGCTATGCCTTTAATTCCAATGCGAATTGTACCATCAATTTATAGGGAGGCAGCTTCATACTGTAGATTTTGGGACTCCACATCTAACAGTTCATCCATGAAGATTTCAATAAATGCATTTGACTTTCCTCATGCATGTATGGATGCATGTTAAGGACACCTGGAAGTACCCACACTTTGGCTTAGAGTCTGGTTGTTTCTCCTCCTAGACAAAACCGTTCAGCAAAATACAACCTAGAAATGGATCTGAAGGACAAGTTCACAGCTCTGACGATTGATGATTACTGTGCTCGCTTGACAAATGACACTCCTGATATGATGTATGCTGATAATGCAGTGAAAATAGAAGGAAAGTAAGTAGTTCTTTAGTTCAACCAACATATGATAATTATACAGATAGTATGAGCTGTTCCAGTAATAGCAAGATTAATTTTGTGTAAAAAGACTTTATCTGTCTACCAGCTGTTATAATTATTTTTTATACTTCTGTCCATCACTTTTGTATCTGTGTAATATGTCTGTGAAATAAGCCACAGTAATTATGCTTCCAGTGAATTGCCGTTTACTAAAAGTTTTTAAGGCTCACAATTACCTAAGGAAGAATTTCACACATTGCTTAAACCCAGAAGAGATTTACTAACCTAACTTCCTTTCCTCTCCCAGGGTGTCCTAGTGGGGAGAACACTGGACTCGAACACATGAGGTGTGGAGTCAGTTTCTGACTCAGTCATTGACCTGTCAAATGTACCCCTTCTGCATGGCTTAGTCAATGTGAATGGTTTAGATGGAGAAGTAGCTACCACAGAAAAATGGGTTGAAAAGAGGAACCGCACTAAGAAAGCAGTGTGTGTAAGACAGTTGTATAGCTCAGACCACACCAGTAGTGTTAGCTGCTATATGCAAATGACAGTTACAGCTTTATATATCCACCTAATGAAATAAGGAACAAACCCTCCAAGGAACTTTATGAAAACCTGCCTGCAAGCCACAGCTGCACAAGGATGACCCTTTAGTTCTGGGGATAGAGTTGAGGCTGGGCTTCCCAACTATTGCTTCAGTCAGGTACCGTCTTATAGGTACACTGTGTGAGAAAATAAGTGACTTTGAATAACTACCTGCTATTAATATTAACAGCCATACTAATGAAAGGTGTTCTAAGAAATAGTGGTTATTTTCTGTGTTTCCCCCCTTAATAACTTAATCCTTCATCAGGGGAAAGGAAAGTTATAACAAAGATGCTCAATGACTTTTTAGCAAATTAGTTTTCATTCTATTCTCGTCTACTTAATTATGAAATGTTTGTGACAAGGAGGGTCTTTATTTTGTATCTGTAGAATTCCCAGCACAACTGGCACTCACCAGGACATGCAGTTAATAGTACTGTTTCGTTCTTGGTTTTGTGGCATAATTACAGATTTATGAAGTCATAGAGAAGCTGCCAGTGGGTGACCTTTTATCTTTAATCTCTTTCAGTTTTGTTAGCCCTAAAGACTGGGTAGATTTCTCAAACATAAATGTTGAAAAGGCTGACAAGCAGAGAAACAATTCTTTGGCACTGAGGGCACTTATTGATGGCATCCTGTCACAGACAGCAAATGACATGCGCAAGCACTGTGAGATGGTGAATGTTGCTTTCAGAAATAGGGTGAAGGAAGTCAAGGATGCCAAGCATAAGCTAGAGACACTTCTTGCAATGGTAAGTCATTTGAATGGACAGTCAGTAAAAAAGGGGAAACACTGGTCTTGGCTTATCTACCAGTTTTCTCAGTCTAGTGGCTTGCACTGATTTGCCACATTTTTCTTTTCCTTCCCCCTCGTCCATAAAGTCATCTTAGATTCTGTTTTCTCATCTCTATGTGCATCACCACAGAGATGAATTTCTGGAGTCACTCATTCATTCTAAGTGTTGCTATAAGTCAGGATTTCCCTTGAGATTTTAATTACCTGGGACTCCAATAAAACATTCAGGATTGTAATATAACTGATAAAATCAGGGCCAATGTGCTCAAAATTTGACATATGAAAAGTGAGTGTTAATGTTAAAAATTAATTGCTGAGCATAAATTTCTGGGTTCATGCAGAACAGTATCATCTGCTTTCCAATGAAGGAATCATAATTCTGGCTAACTTTTGCAAAGTATCCTTTGATAAAAGAACAATATAATGAGTGTTTCTGTTCTTGGTATAAGTATTAAAGATGATGATTATTTTACCCATTGTAAGAGACAGTGTGCAACACTTCCTTCTGTTGGATTTCTTAAGGTGATGGATGAGACTGCCTCCCAGGAGAAGAACATTGCAGCCTTAAAGAAAGCAATTGCTGATAAAGAAGGACCTGCTAAAGTGGCTCAAAGCCGCTTGGAAGCGAGAAGCCATCGCCCCAATGTGGAACTGTGTTATGACAGAGTGCAATGCAGCCTGATGAGTGAAGTTCAAGAGATTACCAAAAATATTCAAAGGCAAGTGGAAATGATGAAAGAAGAAAATCTGTGGTTAATTTAATACATCAGACTAACAATGGGTCCCACCTATTCTCCCTGAAAGGCTGGGAACTGCTTTTCTCTTAACGGCAGGAGTCTTTAGGGAAGCTGCATGGATATTGTCTCTATGAATCCCTTCCCATCTTTCTTTTTCTCACTCAGAATTCTTAACTCACGTGAGAAAAAAAACCCTATTCATGTGTTTTCAACTAATGCCTGCCTGTATTTTCCCTAATAGGTTAAAGGATGCACTGGCACAGGCTGAGACAGAGCTAAAAGGTCTGAGCCGCCGACAGCTTTCCTTGGAGGAAGAGATCAAGGTCAAGGAGAATACACTGTATATTGATGAAGTGCTGTGCATGCAAATGAGAGAGTCTGTTTACATAAACAACTTCTGAAGCCATCACACTGGAAAATTGTGCTCCAAAGAACCAACTCCTGATGAAATTTCATTTACAAACTTCCAAATTTATTCGTTTGGCTCAATATTGTCCTGTTTCTAGTTGTGCAAGATAATTGAAACAGACCTAGTACTTACAGCTGTCTGTTTCACAGCTATCTGTACTCTAAAATATCTGATGAAATTTTCCACTTGGCAATAAAATTCCAGAATAATAAGAAATGCCCCTTCTTCCATGTTACTTCTCTCATGTGTAACCAATCTTTTTGGCTTGGTATCTTTTGCCATTGAAGGGTGGCAAAAGGTGGCTCTGTGGAAGCTAAAGCAGGAGTCTCCTCGTAAGTCATTTGTTGGAAAGCTGGGCAAGTGGGAGAGGTGAATCTCAGGATTAGCCATGGTATGCTTTATTCTTATTATCTGCTGCTAAGAACTAGGCAGTATGCCAAACTTAACAGGAGGTAGGTTGATACAATAGGTAATGCATCTGAATCAAGATTAAGTCAAGGCTGACTTTGGGTAAATCACTTCCTCACCTCATGTCTCAGTTTCCCTATTCATAAAATGGAAATGATGAGATGCTTCAATGGTAAACTGTTTGAAGCTCTACAATGAGAAGTGCTGAAAAAAGAGGAGGCATTATTTTTACCAGAGATGCCGTTAAAGATGGAAAAGGGTTCACTGCTTCCTTTGGTTCTGGCAAGGAAAAACAAAGAAGGGCAAGAATAAATGATGCTGGAGACACAGGAGGCCAGTTCCCAAGTCCAACATTTTAATGCATGGAGTGTAAAATTGTCCCTTGCCTCTCTCTCTTGCTGTAATGGTATCTCCCTTTCAGAGGCATTGCTGTGAAGATACAAATCTCCTACTAAAACCTTCCGAAGGATCTGCTAATGCAAATGTCGCTGGGTGTTCTTCTCTCCCTGTGGTTTACACCATTGGGTAGGTGATGACAAAATAATTAAGTTCTGAGTCAATCAGGTATTTGAACTTCCTGTAAATATCAGCCAACAGCCGCTCCTCCTCAGTGCTGTCATCTTGAGCTGTGTAAATCCTGACCTGTATGCACAAACAACAGTTGTGATTCACAGATATGTGGAGCTCAGCCCATTAAAGCTCACAAGAAGAAGCCTCGGTGACTTATCAGGAATGTAAAGAAGCCAAATTCCTTGGGTTTGAGTAGAATCTTAAGGGTTTATTCTCTTCTCACTCCAAACTGACTGAAAACATCATCTCCTGCCAAAGAATTTTTGGGAGGTGTTGGGAGGAATGGGTTTAAAAGTGGAAGACTGGTGAGGAGGATTGTAAATAGCTCAACTGCAGTTGGAAATAGCCCTTGATAACCCAGTGTGAACAGCAGCCAGTGGCCTCTGGCAGGGACCGAGTTTAACCATGCCTGTGTCTCCGCTTGCATGCCTCTGCCCAGCAGTTGCTTTGGGAATTCCTCAGTTAGTGAAGGAAGGAAAATAAATTTACTCTTTGTGTTCTAGCTGTGAGTTTTTGGTTGTCCCAGCCTGCATCAACTCACACTGGAAGAGCAAGGTTCCTTTTACCCCCAGAACTGATGCATTCCTGGAATTTGCACTGATCCGTGAGGATCTACTGAATCCAGAATGCAGCATGCAAAGTCACACGTCAGCATGGTTTACACCAGCTATAGTTGTGGTGTGGCCCCAGTTCAACACACAATTCCTGAAGAGTGAGCTGTGTTTATATTTTTTTGCAGTTTAGTGGGATTCAACCCACCTGCCTCAGTTTAAGCATAGACATAAGCACTGAGCCTGAGAGGAGGCTGAGAATCCCTAGAAGTGGGAGGGGGCTTGAACTATAGGTGACAGAGGGAACGCCAGTCCAGGAAGGACTTGCAAAATCATTGGGACTCATATTAAACTTCTATAGTATCTGTACATGGCTAAGTAGGTTGGAACGCCCCATTTCTGTGAGTGCTTCCCAGGCTCATTATAATGTATAGGGAAGGTAGTTATGTTAACATTTCTGTAAGTGACCTTTCTATGGGCATGGGGACTTAACCCGTCTCTAGGTATTGGAGAGAAGAAGAGGAGTTTTAAAGCACGATGTCTTACCTTTATGGTAGTCAAAATGCATTTCCTTTCTGCACGGTTTTGTAGCAGCCTCTCCATAAAACTGACACTTAGAAATGCCCAGACTTTCAGAAATAACAACCTCTTGCATGATAAGATAAGCTGTAGCAGCTCATTGTCCAGCAACTCATGGTCATTGTTTAATTCAAGTGTTAATTTCTTGAAAAAGAATGAACACTGTTAGTACTACTAAACAGAGCTTGTGAGTACAGTAATTAGAATTCAACAAATAGTTTTCCAATTTAACCAACAAAAGTGTTAGCAGATCAATTTTGTACCCTGACATTAGCAGAGAATCTGTTTTGCATTATGACAACAGTACATGTGCTACAGTAAGCTTCACTCTCCCGTTAAGATGGGGTGATCCCTTGTGCATTCATCAGAAAATGCTACACCCACAGTCAGGCCATGATCTTAATTTGACATATTGGAAATTATCCTAGATATGTGAATAGAGCCAAAGACAGTTTCTAGAGAGCTTTGTGGATCTCTGATGTTCACTAGAAACTCTGCGATGCAACAGGGCTTAAAGAAAGCTGTCAGCAACCACTAGGTGTAAGGCTACATGCTTCCCTCAGGCATGCCAAAACCTGATGCTCATTTACATGGGTCAGGTGTAGCACACCTTTGATGAAACATCCCCAGTGACACCAAAGTGCTTTGATATGGGCACTATTTAATTTGTATGTACTGTAAGACATTTGTGCATTGCTAAAATGGAGCAGCCTGATAGTATAATGGGGATTGTAACTGGACAAGGATAATTTCATGAACTACACTACAGCTGAACAGTGAAATGACTTACTTATGAAAACCACCCTCTGAACATGAAACTGATCAGGAAGTTCTATTGCTGACTGCTGTTATGCAGAAGGCCTAAATGATTACTTTGCTTAGCTTTGTGATACTGCAGTAAGATGTTACTACTGTTTCCCTTACCTGCAGACCATGCCAGTAGGCTGGGAGAAGGTTAGTGAGGGTAGGTCTCATTGTCCAGTCTGGATCACTGAAATAGCAGCTCCGTAGGCTGATGCTCCTAACTGGGATCTCCACTAGCAGGATCCTGGCTAGGTGGTCATGCTTCATGACTCTTTCAAAGAAGAAGTTCACATTCAGTTTTGGGGCTCTCTTGGCCAAGTTTGCCCATGACATTCCCGAGACCACTTGCCCATGAGGATCATGGATATGACACTTGATATTCAAGGTGCACAGGGAATGAGAGCTGTGCTCCCGCAGGATGTTCAGCAGTTCATCAGAGATGCAGTTATAGTTGAAAGTCAGGATGGTCAGGCTGTGGAACTTAGACATAGTTTGGTGGAACAAAGCACTGCTGTAGACAGAAAGGTGGAGACTGAAGAAATCCTCAATATTGATTTCAGATATAAAGCTTCTATTTGTCAAGCTGCTCAGAGAATTCAGAAGCTCACAACCTTCTTCCAAAGTTATTCTTGCTCCTTTTAAGTTGAGATAATCAAGCTGTTTGCTCATTCTTTTCAGGAAGGTAGCTAAGTTCTTGATAAACTGAGCCCTGACCACGTTTTTCCAGATCAAGCAGTCTAATTCCAGGTACTTGATGCTCAGGGATACTAGGTGACTATTACACTTACCCAGGTGAGAAAGAAGACCTTTCATAGTCACTTGAAATTTTTTGATAAAGGGAGTATTGTAAGGATTCGATAACTTGACCTCAAGGTGCTTCAAATACTTGCCAAATTTCTTGGTATACCACAGTGCACTTTGAAATTCCAGTGTGCGTGCCCTTGATGGTTGGCCATAGAATGTGATGGTTCTGCATCTCCAGAGAGATCCAGAGTACATAGCACAACTCCATTTTTTACAGACCAAGGCAGCCCGAGACCTGTCCCTGTCATCTAACCAATGGAAGACATGCCTCAGACAGACATCAGGTAGATGGGCCCAGGAGCTTTGCTCAGGTTCATTGTCATCTTCCATTGAGAGGACAGATTTTTACTTCTCTTCTGAGTGTTGAGTCAAACCCAGATGCAGAAAGCTGTGGGTAGATTTCTTGCCAATCCCAACATAATAGGCTTCTAAGCAAATGGATGAAGGCTTGCTTCTTCACAATCAAAACAAACAACCTTTCCTTTTCCTCTGTACTTTAGCTGTCAGGGTCAAACAAGCTCTTGGGTCTAAACTATAGCCTAACCTAAATCAAAAGAAAAAAATAATGAATGAAGAACAATCACAGTAAAGCACAGGACACATCTTTTAGCTTTTTTGCCTTCAGTCTAGTTAAAGAGCGAAATGGTACCAACTGCTGGTAGAGCAGCCACAGTCTCTAAGAAACCTTTGGTTAGCATCAGCTGTAATTAATTGATCATGGTTTGTGGCCTGTGCCTGACATCTAGAAGTACCCAGTTCTTTGGACTATATACATTTGAACAGGACTGTCAGTGCAAAACTAGCACAAATGACTTTTCATAGCCTTCTGGGGTACAATTCCATGACAATTAGTACCCTGCCTTAGATTAAGGTACAATTCCTGTTGAGTATAATAAGCAATATTAAGCTGTTCCATCACTTGGTTCAAGCAGGATGTTCAGTCCTCGTGGTCTAATGGACAGGGAGTAGGCTGGCAAGTCAGAAGCCCAACTAAGTCTTTGTAAGTCCACCTACGGAAACAACCATGATGAAAGAACTTACCAGTTCCACTCTCAAAGCTGGACTGTGCAAGTGTTCATCTTCATGCACACTTTTCCAGCTAAGACAGTCTCCCTCTAAAGATTTGTTTTCTCAGCCTCTGATCCCTCCCTATGTGAAGTTCAGCCATTGCCATGGAAGAAAAGAGATGACATTCGTGATGTCATAACAACTGAATACATGTAAAGGCAAACAGTAAAAGAAGTCGACTTCCACCATTTGGACGAAGGTAAAGACAATGAAAACGAAAAGCAGACTTGCTTGGTAATCCCTCAGGAAATGAGAAATACAGGCCACAATTTACCAGTCAGGTGCAGGCTGTATGTCTTGTTGTGTCACTTTTCACCAACCACATAAGTGGTTGAGCAATAAACAGTTAAGAAGAGAAGTGATGCATTCTCTATGCTTTCAGCTGTGAAATGCAAACAACATCCCGCTGGCTTGTTAGGTGCTTGTTTTTGTGAGGCCTTTTACACATCAGGGTATTAATTGACTATGCAAACAGACAAAGAGCATGCAAAGCTAGTGTTCTGCTAGTACCTTTGCAGAGATACTAAAATTCAGGGTGTATTTACTTTCCATCTCTATAATGCACAGTCTTAACCCTGTCCCCTTGGTAAATCTTGCCTTAGCTTTTGGGGTTGAAACTAGAAAAACAATTAGTGACGCTTTCTTATGGTCTACCCCAAAAATCAAGGCTTATTAGCTGACAGGACTACAAGGAGATGCAACTCAAAAGTACGTGATGCCAATCTCCAAACAATCTAACTTTCCTCCTTTGCACATGCTGTCCTGCTGGGTAACAAAGCTGAAATGGATGGAAACAACAAGGGCACCATAAGCAGATGAAGAAAATATGCAGATCCCTGAGAGTCTGCTCACAACTACGAAGGCTCAGATCTTTCTATTTTAATTTTATAATTAGGCATGAAAGAACAGGCTGACTGCCCAGTTCAGCTTCAGCCCTTTTCCTTCCCTTTTGGCCTACAGTTATGTCACACAGTATCTCTCTGCCTGTACACATACTCTGTTCAATTAGCAAAATTCTTAGGGATTCCTCTGTGCACCCTTGCCATCCGAAGTGCCAATCCAAACCCCCAGTACTCAAGATAGCCTTTAGAAACTGAGCACAAGGGTTCGATTACCACCTGACTCTATCTCTTGTATTTAGTACCAACTCTCCCCTAAGAGCTCTTCATTTTGCAGGTCTTTAGATGAATGTCCAAAGATCCAAACTGAGTCTTAAAATGTCATAGCTCAAGCTGGGGTTTGCAACTGAGAAAAGCTTTCACTATGGAGACTGGGGGTGGGGAGGACACAGCAGGCAACACATCTTCAGGTACCTGGAAGTCCTAAAGCTGATGGACAAAGGAAAGCAGAACAGCATACAGGGCTGCAATACCTAGAAATATGTCTATTAATGAGAGATATTTATTACACTAGTCACCCATGTTATAGTGTGTGAATAGAAAGGGGTACAAACACCGTCATGTGGAACTTTTTAAAACAGAGCTCTTAAGAATTCGTAAAAAGTATGTTTATAAGCCAGTGGTGGGATTCAAGAAGTATCCTGCAGTGTTACTGTGTTGGTTTCCCCATGGCTCTAAGCCAAGTCTTAGCTATGGAGGTGTCTTTACCTGTCAGATCCAAGTTTAATTTGATGGGGGAAAACCAAACATTTGGAAAAAACCAGAAGCTGATACAGCTTCGGGAGCAATTTTTCAGGTAGAAGTGATCTATAATAATAATGGCCAGTCTTCGCGAGCGAAGATCCGGGGAAGGTCTTTCCACCTTCCAGCCTGCGCATTGGATTTTTTAGGTGAGACACAGTGTGCGCGGAACTGAGCCCACCCTTTAATCCTAAGGTTCATCTGCCGGGATCTAAAGATAAATAAATGCTTTGCATGTCTTGCTTTTCTCTAATGAAAGAAAAAAACCAAGCCAAATCAAAAAGCCCCACCGCTGAGCAACCACATTCTCTGTACTTCGCCCCCTTTGCTGCCCGATTTGCTTCAAATGGTTTCATCCCAGATGGTTTCCAGTCCGTCACGGACAGTTAGACAAGCTGTCTCCTCCAACAAGAGTTGCAGAAGCCCGAGGAGAAAAAGCAAACGGGCAAAAACCTTCTAAGACTCTGACTGCCAATGAATTACCAGAAGTACCACGAGCCGTCTCTCGAACACACACCCGACAGCCTAGCCCAGCCCAGCCCAGCCCAGCCCGACTCCTTATCCCGCTCCTGTTGAGGAGAGCTCGAGCCCGGGGGCGGGGTGGTGCCGCAGCCCCTGCGTTGTGCAGCAGGAGACCCCGGGACGTGACCCACTCCGGGGCTGCCCCTTCACCGCCCCAGCCGCGGCTGGTGCGCGCGGGGCCCGAGACGGGTAACGGCCAATGGAGGCGGGCGGTGGCTGCGGCGGCGCCAATCAGAAGAGCCGGAGGGGCGGGGCGTCGTTCAAACTTGGCGGCGGCGCACGAGGCGAGTCTTGAGGGGAAGTGGCGCGTCGGTCCCGATCCCGGTCCCTGTCCCCTCCACGCACTGAGTGAGTACAGGGCCGAGCGGCTGCAGGAACAGCCCGCTCGCGGCCCACCAGCCGGTCTTCTCGGGCTTGGGCGGCGCTTTTCGCGCTTGCTACGAGCGTCCCTGGCGTGCACAATAACGGCGCCGGCCGGGCCCGCCCCGTGCCGCCGTGCCCCGTTATCCCAGCGCGGCTACTCTGCTGCGGATGTCGGTGGGGAGCAGGGGCAGTGCTAGTAGAGCGGGGTTCCTGGGGCCCTGGCGGCGAGAGCGGCTCGGCCGGGCCCCGGTGCACCGGCCGGGCCTGGGGGCCCAGTCGCCGGTTTTTCCAGTCCGCCGTGGGCTCCGGACCAACCGGAGCACCGGGCTATCCTTTGCAGTGCCTGTCTGATAACAGATCAGCGTAGCCTGGGACGGCAGCTGCTCCCTTCGTAGCGTTTCACCTCAGTCGTATTTGCCGGCATAAATTAATCAGCAGCAGCTGGCAGGCGGTCCAAAGGAACCTGGATCAGCTGCGAGCTAGTCAGAATCGAGCGGTTGCCCGATTAATAGCCTTTCCTGGTGCCATATGCAGGAATGAATTAAAGGTGTTAATATCCCAAACACCTTCAGGATTACAACGTTTCAATTAGCCTTATTCCTTTTTGACACGCTTGTGAGAGATGGAGATAACTTAGAAGATCAGGGATTTTAGTGGTATAATGATGATAGAGACCTCCCAGCTTTTTTAACGTAATCTGCAATGAAGTATTGATAAAATTAATTCACTCTCTGCAGATTGCTAAAATGCATCTGCATTTCACTTCCTTCTTAGAAGTAAATCATTAGTGGTATCCTACCTCAATAGCAAGTGAAAATTAATAATTTAAAATATGTATGTATGTTTAAATTGTCATATGTCATCTAGATAGCTAGCACTTTAGCCCTTCCCACTGAAGTCTTCTGTCAGTAAAAATCCTGTTTGTTTCAGGACTTATGTATCCACAATCATAACTGTGACTAAAGTGTGAACCTTCAGCCAACAAGTCAGGCAGGATACAATAGCAGCTGTGTAAACTTGTCTGGCAGTGGAAGGTTGTTTTGATTAAAGAAAGCAAAAATTGGGGATACCAGGTCTTAGTCTGAAACACAAACAAAATTTGCACTTACAGAGCATTCTACCTCACAAGCTTGAGTCTTACACTGGAAATACAGTATAAGGCTTCTTCATGGACTTGTAAAAACATAAATACCTGTGGAAATCAATGCTACAGAATCGATAGTAAAAGCCCAAGTAAAAGTCTGCCCAGCTCTGGTTTTCTTGTTTCAGGCAAGTGTAACCAAGTATATTGTATGTAACAGTTTCCATTTCTGTTTTTACACTGCTTTGTACTTTGCTCTGTCTAAGCCTTGCTCTCATTTTAATTCTTTTAGAAATAAGGTTGCCCAGGAACTGCAATAAGATGGCATCTGTGCTCCAGAATGTCAAAGCAACAATGGCCTGGCAGAAACACCAGCTCCTAGCTGACTTTGATGAAAATGAAAGCCCTGTGCCTGAGAAATTCAAGAGAAAGGCTGCTCTGAGTTCTCTCAATAACATCTGCATGTCCCTAAGGAAACGAGCACCATTAAAGCGAGTAGAGCTGAATTTTCATAACACCCCAACTAGGGAAAGTCTGGAAGCAAGACAGAGGTGCCAAACTCTTCAGACTATTAAAAGAACAGCAAAAAGTGCATTTGGAACAGTGTCCCAGGTACTTTGCCTTTGCAGTGGAACATGAATAGAGTTTAGTTTTTGCTTCAACTTCAGTACTAAGATTTCTGAAGTCTGTACATGTATTCCAGAGAGTCCATTCCCAAACAGTGGCACACCTTAATGGTTGCCTCATATCTATTAGCTTGTAAAATCTTTAATATCTTTTCCTAAAGTATAGACAGGCAAATTATGGATCTGGCAGAATATGGAGGAAGGTGAAAACATTATTTTAGTATGAAATAAATGCTTTTCCGCTACTCTATTTCATCATGTTTGGCAGAGCAGCCTTCACAAGGAGGAAACTGGCAAGAGGTTGCCATTGCTTGCAAAGAATTGTTTCTGAGAAATATGTAGCACTTAGGTATTTTTTTCTTATTTATTCTCCCATACCCATACTAATTATTATAGTTCTTCATTATAGTCAATATAAATTCAGATTGACAAAACCCATTGAAGACCTGGGATTTTTAAATTCATGAGTTATATGTTAGGGAGCTGGCTCGTTCCAGCATAAGAGCAGCAGGAGCTCTGTTCCAATGCCTGCTCTGAAGTCCTTGACAAGTGCCAAGGTTTAGGGAAGCAAATGACTCCTCCAATGCAATGGATACAAGAGGGTTGAGAAAACCTGATATGGGAATGGAAGTTGGGAATTCAGCTCAAATGTTCCTTGTCTTTCTGGTTCTAAACTCCAGGCTATTTGAGTTCTTTTAGTCTAATGTATCTAATAATTCTTTCAGAAAATACAGAAGTCTTGCCAAAGCCCAGTACAGTCAATGGTGACCTTTCCAGCTGAATCCATCAGCAGAAGCTGTACGACCAGTTCCACCAAGAAAAAAAGTACTATACCTCAAACCCCTTGCTATAAGACTGTTACTCCAGCAGCCAGTTCCAAAGGCATCCCAAGGTCCAGCAAAAGGACCTTGCTTGGGCCAGCAAGGGTGTCAGAACATGGGGAACGGAGGGAATTCTCATCCTGGCTTCTTGAAAATGCCGTCTCTCTCCGGAGATCAAGAAGAGCAGCAGCACTGAAGAGCCCTTATTCATCACCTGCTCCTGCCAGAAAGATGTAAGTCATATTCCTTTGTAAACCTTATTCCTTTTCTTTTTTTCCTTTTTTTAAATTACTGTGATTAGAGTATCTGGTAAGGTGAAAGGCAAAGTATGTAGTTTGCTACCCTCTTCCCCTGAAGGGGTGGGCTGTTTGAATAGTTAGAAGGTAGTTGTAAGTCCCTGTGTAGGCAGGGACTGAGAACTGCATAAAGCTGAAACGTAAAAAGTAATTTTGTGTTGTGACAAGAACTTTTTAAAAATCCCTCTCCCACTGGGTAAGTTTGCACCATGTTTCTCAGCACAAGTGCCCATAAGATGCTACAGACATACCTGAATTCTCTGCTGATCCTTTACCCAAGTAAAGAAAAATGCTTTCTATGCATCTTACTCCTCCTTAATTCTAACTTTTCCAAAGTTGCTATTTGTATTGCTAAGATACCAGGAATAGCTCTGCTTATACTGAGTTCTTTATAGAGAGATTCCTGCCTCAAAGATTTAATACAAATTAGATCAAGGGTTGTGAGCTCGGGAAATACTTCATAATGCACGCAGAGGTTATTTTTTTGGTAAGTCACAAGAAAGGTCAAAGCTAGAAGCTGAATCTGAATCCTGAGTCTGAATTGGAAGATAGCTGTCTGGGGGATGAATGGAGATGTGAAGCAGTTGGCCAGTGGAAGCAAGAGCATGATTGCCATAGCCCTACACTTCTCTGGGTAAAGTCTGGAGGTAACAAGAGCGGTACTGCAGGGATAGAGGCTTGAGTAGTGTCACCTAGGCAGTCTGTCCTGTCTGATCTTTAGTAATGACGATTCTGTTTGCAGAGAACGTAACTGTAAGTTGGAACTGGTCTCCTCAGGGATTTGCCAACTGAAGCGTATCTCCCAGGCGTTTGATGATGCTCTTGTGAAAGAGGAGAGGTAAATACTGCTACTGTCCCTCAACTTTTGGCACATGTTACCTCCTACTTGGACACTGGCACTTGCAGGTTAGGTGGTCCCTATGACTCAGGATAAGGAATATTCTCTGTTGTAATGTAGTAGATAATTTCTTTCTTCAAGATACCTGAGCAGATTAAATCTGCAGTTGGATTTGCAGCTTCAAAAACCTGTCAAATGCTCTCCTTGTCTTCAGGTATCTTGCTGTGGAAATCAGATTTTTCGCAGCAAGAGTCTACCTTTGACCTTGTGTGAGAGCAGTACCTCCCTGCCTCTGTCTAAAAGAGTGCCAGTGCAAGCTGGGGATGGGGAAGGTGGGGAAATTCCAGTGCACTGACACAATTATTGATGTCTGCACATTTATAACAAAAAATCCTTTTATTTAGGTAGAATTATGTTAACAAACAATCCATGGTACCCACATGCAGCAACCTGTTACAAAACACCTTGGTTTATCCATGAGGTGGTAGGCTGCTGTATTTGTAAAAGTTATGTCATTCTCAATTAGACATTAAGAGAGTAAAAACTAAAGGTCAGAAGTCTGGTCACAGGGTGATTCCCTAAACCTCTTCATCTCCTAGAACATTTGATGTCAAGCATTCAATAATTAAATGTCAAGCACCTCAAATTCTCTAGAGAGGGCTTAGCATCAAGTACTTTTATCTTCAAAGAGGTTAGGACTTAAAATCCTACATAATTCCAAAAATTATTTTTTTCCCAATGGGACCATGTATAGATAACTATAGGTTAAATCTTGTGTCAAGTTAATTTTATCATATCCGTTGAAAGTTCACCAAATCTCATTCCTAATATTCTTCCATTTGTTAGTGATATGACAGTTTCTCTCATTCATAACTGAAGATAGTAGCAACCAGGTAAAGTAGTTGTTCACTTACCCTGTCTATACCTGCATGCCTCTGTGGGGAGAAAACCTGCTGTACAGAGAAAGGCTTATAGACTCATGCTGCTTTAAAGCAGTGTTCTGTGGAACCACAGGGTTCTTCCCTCGTACTCATTGTGGCTGCCTCTGCTACAGCTGATCGCTGTGCAGTTGTAAAACTTCACCTCTAAATTGTGGATTTGTGAATCCTTGTGGGTTTACAATGAACCATAAGCTAGGCTTCTATGCAAACAACAGCTTTTCTCATCCCAGACCAGAACACTACTGGTACTAATGTTTTCGTCACTCCAGCTCAGTTCTCACTGATTACTAATGAAGATCAGAAAGCATGACAGAACAAACTGTTATCCTGAGTTAAGACCATACTACACAGTAACAGCAGTTGCTAATTATTGATGGCACTTTTAAACACAGCAATCCTACCCAAATGGATGGGAACGGCAGGTATTTGTTCTCAGTTTTTAAACATCACTTCTAGTGTCAATTCATTGGACCATTACCAGGTAAATGCCTCTATTAACTTCACTGAGATCTGCATTGTGACATTAGTTCATCCATTATGTTGGAAGTCTTCCTTTTGTTCAGGTTACATCCTAAATACGATGTCCTACTTTAGCAACAAAGACAGGTGTAAGACACTGTTGGCTGTAACTTTTCAAGAAAATATGAAAGCAGTTTCAAATGCTCGACTTTGAACAGGGCTGTGTTCCAGTGCCACTAAATAATTTGGTCCAGTTCTCCTGCATGTGTAGATGCATCCAGTGTGCTCTGTCACTGACTGGTTTGTAGGCTGCCTACTGTATCAACTGTGAAGTGAACTCTTTTGGAGATGCCCTTAGTCTTGCATGAGATTTTCTGTTCTGGTATCCAATTGCCATGAGTTTGTTCTAGACCTCCCCTTTCAACTTTTCCAAGAGGAAACAAATCTTTATCTCAAATGATAGTTGCCAGCAACATGTATTTTTCTAAAGTTTTTCATTTTAATGAATTACGTTATATCACAATGTCGTGGTTTTGCCCTGGCTCAATTTACTTTTACACTCCCCATATAATTACTATCAGTTGAGAGAAGGTTTATGCAGACAAAAAGAGACTGAATTGAAAAAAAGTATGAGTATTTATTATTAACAAGTTAAAACTAAAGAATTATATCTACAACAATTCTACTTAAGTAAAAGGTATTATGTATTTACAGAAGATACTTCTCCCCCCACCTCCCTTTATATCAGTCCAAGGAGGAGAAGTAGTCTTTTTTCATTCTTGGAGTTCCAGCTCTCTCTCCAGTAACTCTGCAGCACTTTCGTCGCAGCTGGAACTCTTTTATCTTTCTCTCATTCTGTGTTGGTCTCCAGGGCTGGGTCTACCCCCCTCCTGGGCTAAAACCGAAGGCTGGGGGTTACTCAGGTCCTGAAGGGTTTCCTTCCATAGGCTTGCAAGGGGACACTTGCTTACTATGGATCTTCTTCCACAGGGTTACAGGGGATAATGGTTTAAGAGTTCACCCCTGTTTCCCTATGGAGGTCCCTCTCCATGGGAGAACAGTCCTTGATTGACTTCTCAGCATGGGTCTAGTCTGGATCTCTTACTCGGATCCCAATATCCCACCTGAGCCGTCTTCTGCTCCAGCGTAGGTCCTCATCCCCCTCAGGGTCATAAATCTTCAACAGCAGCAGCATGGATCTTTCACTGAGATCCCAACATCTCACCTGAGCCGTCTCTTGCTCCAGCGTGAGGTTTCCCTCAGGGTCACAAATCTTCAGCACTAGTAGTATGGATCTCTCATTGAGATCCCAAGCTTATCCGAGCCGTCTCGCTCCGGCATAAGCACCGTCCCCTTCAAGGGTCACAAAGTCTTCAACAGGACTCTGCCTCATCCGAGCCACTTCTGCTCCAGCATAAGGCTTTTTCTCTCTGTCAAAGTCACAAATCTCTGGTACATCCACAAGCTCCTCTGTGAGCCGCATGGGGGGTCTCCTCATCCCAACAAACTTTTACAAGTGGCAGGGTTTTTATTTTTCAGTCTTTACACTGCTGACGGGAGGGAGAGCAAAAGGGACAAAAAGCAGCTCTCCCCCCTTCGAACTTTTCTTCTCTCTCCTGCAACTGCCAGCTTTGACCTTGGAAGTCCTGTTATCTCATGGCTGGAATTCTTCTGCAGTGGTTTCTCGTCTAAGCAGTTCGTTTTTTAAACCTTTTTTTTTCTCACTCTTTTACAGAAGAGAGGGAAGGCTTCAGTACTACACCTGCCCCCCCTGGCCCAAGCCGGGGGAGGAGGGGGCCTTGGCCCTCCTCGGCCCCGCTACTCTTCTACATGGCTGCTGCTCCTAATTTTAACTGCGCAACCAACCTTCTCTTCCGTTGTCTTAAAGATGTAATTAGCAAAGGCATCACTGAACTTTTTGATTGTTTTTTTTTGTCCGGAAATCACTTGGACAAAACCATCCTCAGCCCCAGGGATGGGCTGGTGGGCAAAACCACGACACACAAGAAATGTTCATGTTGCTAGTTACAGTATTGCAGTACTTAATTTGTGTACTGCCATTTACTCTCACTGAAGGTAACAAAGTATCTTCCTGCTAGTGTTTAGAATGGTTATACAGTGGCAAGTGTACCTCTTCCTAGCTCCCATCTGCTTTCCAGATTGCTTTCTAACAATTTGTGTGACCACTATTTGATTAACCCTACTGACTTGACGCTGCTAATGACAGTCTTGTTGTTCTTCTGCAGGCAACAAGCAACATCAAACTATTACTATCTAATGGCAGAAAACTTACCTCCTGTGTGTCGATCCCTGAAACCTTCTCAAGCTAGCAGAAGGCAAGCAAAGAAACTCCATCAAGCACTTGGTACCTAGACAGAGACTGTAACTACTGTTAGTTTATGAGCATATATAAATGAGAGGTTTGTGTAGCACCCAAAAGGGTGCACTCTATACACTGAACAAGCCACTACATTTTATAATCTTTCTTGACAAAGCAGCTCAGGACTTCCCTTGCTTTCTCTTCAACTGTAGAGCAGAATTAAAGTGGTACCAACCATAGTGTATTATCTCCTGCTGAGACAAGGGAACCATCTTGAATGTGACTTTCATGAGGCAGTAGGTACTTTGATGTTGAACTGACCAGAAGGAATGGCCAAAGCAAGGGCCACAGACTTATGAAGGGTAATCCTAAGTAAGAGGAGTGTATAGACTCGTATCCAATTGCCATGAGTTTTAGCACAAGTACTTTATGTACAAAAGTTTGGTCCATTATTTTGAAAGCCTAACATTTTTTTAATATATGAACAAACTAAAAGGTAAGCATCATGTTTAGCTGGAAGTTAATAAAACAGTAGTGGCTTCTTTAAGTTTTGACCACAACTGCCATTCCAAGGCAATAGGCTTCTGTGGAGTCATTCACGCCACAAGAGAAGAGCCACATTAGGTTCTTAATTCACGGCCTTAAGGATTGCTATTAGATTACTAACTAGGTAGTTTTTTTCCAGACAAATCAGAGCAACTTGGTAATCTCCTACTGCTGCTTTAAATAGCATCTTGGCAGTTGAGTTAAACATTGCTTCTGTACTACAACATCTGTCTTTTAGTTATACACAGAAATTGTTACTACAATTACTGTAACCTCTTAAAACTACTGTTACTAGCCAATATCTCGGTGCAGGTATTTTATTTGATGATGCATACTTAGCATTTTATATATTATTTTTGCTTCTAGTTACTTAAAAAAAAATTAACATTCATTTGACAAGCCTTTTTTGGTTGGTCATTCAGTGTAACAAAGTTTAGTCTTTCAAACCAAAGCAAAGATTTTTCAAGCTTCTGGAATTCAACAGCAAGGCTGTTTTCCGTGGTAACAGCTTTGTTCAGGCTTCTCCAATTACATTCACTCTAAAATGAACCTTCAAACAAAAGACTGATTTGGAAAATTTTGCTCTACTTGATAATGTTTAAGATGTGCATGTAATTCAGTAGTTCCAGTTTCAGTAAAATCTTAATGGTATCAGATATAAATATGGAAGTATTCAATCCTGATTTCCTGATGTAGTATTTGTGTGTGTTTGTGTGCTGGTTTTAGGTTCTTTTAATCACCTTTCTATATGGAACTGTACTTTGAAGTTCTTCTTTGCATGTTCTGAAAATACTTCTATAAAGCTTTCACAAAGATGGTGACTCATTGCCAAGATACCTCCTTCTATGACTTCTGAAAAAGATGGAGGGTTGGATTTTTGTGAAAAGTCAACCTCCAATTTAAGTATTATTTCAAACACACATATCAAAAAACCTCTATACTGTTTCCATCTGCTACTAGGACATGTACAATGATGATCTAATACTTCCCAATTCACTGGTAATAAAAATCAGTGACACTGTTTGCTTAAAGGCAAGGAAGGTTTTATTTAAGTGAGTAATCTGTTATAAGATTTTAAAAACCAGCTCACATCAAAATCTATAGCAGTTGTAGAAATCTTACTCCTTATTTCATATTAAGAAATTCATTATTGTACATTTTGTGATCTTTACAAGGCAGCCATAAGAAATATAAACATTTGTCACCAGATAGAACCTTCTCACTGACAAACAATATTTAAAGTATGCACTTAATAAAACTACAGACTGAAAGAACACCTACAATTTCAAGTCTCCTTGTATGAATTCAGCTGTAAGTGGACTGCCCCTTTTCTCCCCCACAAAGAGAAAAATAACTTATGCAGAAGGCTTGGGGTTCTGTGAGAGGACTGGCATTCTGGGCTGTATGCCAGTCATCCAAGAATAACCTTACCTTTCAAACTTGCTATCTGTAAATCACATTTCAATGCTGCAATCTCTGGTATCACAGTAAACCTTCCTCTCTTTCTTTCCCCTCGTAAGTTCTGTACATCCTTACAAATGAACTAAAATGAGAGAAAGAGCAATTGCCAATACCTGACTTCAATTGCAGAGTCCATGGCACAGGATTCTAGCTGCTCCAGGCCATTTCTTATGTCTGAAAAATAAAACTCTTTTCATCCAGAAAATGTGTATTACTTCCATTTTTTATGAGTGGGTCTGAATTTAGGATCATCTGTAGGAACCTATATTTAACTTGAGTGACTAAACATCATGGAAGTCTTAATTACCTTGACAAACCCACAGTTTCTGATGAAGCTCTGAACACAGACCACGAGGAATCATTGCTCTTCGAGAAGCTGAGGCCAGAGACTATAGGAATTCTATAGGAATTCTATCCTGTACCAGCTCCGGATGAGGAGGGAAAGTACCACTTTCTCCCCCGCAAGCCTGACATGAACAAATGAATGCAGAGATCTCAAGTTCAGATCCCACATGTCAATCTCTAAACAGAAAAATGATGAAATGAGTGTGCACAATCTCTTCTCTCCATTTTTAAGCCAACAAGCTTATCAAAAAGGTGCCCATGCTTCAGTCATTAGTACTATTACGGTGTGCTCACCTTTTTACGGTTTAGATGGCAAGAGGGTGAAAAAAACCTGGGGGAAATCTTATTTGTTGAGTAACAAATGTTGCATGTAAAAATTTAAAAAACTAAAAATACCTAGGTTTCAGATATTATTAAAAACACTTATAAACAAAGTTTTTATAAATTTAAAACAGCAAACAATATAGAAAACAGGAAAAAAATCTTTTTTACCTTTCCAAATTTATTCCATGAAGTACGTGATGATACTACGGAGCTAAATATTGGGGACTTGCTTAAATACATACATTAGAAGTGTCCTGGATAAAGAAAGACTGCAATGTATAAACAGAACAACTTGTTCACTAATAATGGCAAACAAAGGCAATTTTGCAGAATGGTGGGTCTTCTGGATAAAGTGTCATTGTCCTGTGTAGACTAAGGTGTGTAATCCTTTTTCTCTAGTTTACTGATAGTTCCACTTCTATGTAGCCAGTGAAAGTTTTAGCTGTTTAGAAGTGACTTTCCTAGGTATTAGAGGAACAGGTGAAGTAATCTGTAAAAATTAAGACTAGTTTCATGTAAACAAATCAAAATGACAGCTCCCATGAACCCCAGTGAACAAGAGTTATCAATACTGTGTCATTTTTACAGCTAACAGAATTTTATGCTGAATAGATATAAACCATGTCACAAAACTAAACAGGAGTACTCTGATGAAGCAAGAATCTATTCCAAGAGCACTAGTGTATCCAAACAAACAAGTTATTCAAAATAAGCAGATTTGGACCAACACCACTATTCGGGTCTGTGGAATAGTCTGCATTCTATACAATGATATCTTTTTCCAAACTTACCTAACTAGACAACAAAATTGAATAAACAGCTATTGTTGGTGTGGGGTTTTTTTGGTGGGTGTTTTTTTTGTCTTCTTTTTTTTTTTTTTTTGTGTGTGTTTTTTTTTTGTTTGTTTGTTTTTTTGTTTTGTTTTTTTTGGTATATTGGTTACAAATTTCCTGTGAAAGCAGAACCAAAACTTTAGTGTCTTTCAGTAGCTACACACATACACATGGACAAAACCAAAACACCACAGTTGTGAAGGTGTGTTTTTACAATATCTCAGCTAACTCTACCACTGCTATTAATCACAGCCATTTTTTACAGTAATTTAAAATTGATCCATATCAACAAGACAACAAAGTAAATGCTCCCAATGGTGGCTTACTTTGCACTGACTTGTACTGCAGCCTTAGCACCCACTGGACTAACAGTTTTGTGTTGTACAATTTCATTTATGCTTCCTCCATTCAGCAGGTTAAAAGAATGTGCTTTTCTGTTACAGACTGGAGGCACTAAAGGTGCTGAAACAACTGATGAGTCTTGTATGTTCCCTGGGCACCCACCTTAGCTTCTGTCCATTTCCCTCCTGTGTGTGCTTTAACACTTTCATAGCCTACACAGTTTAAGTGCTGACTGCACAGAGACTGCAGCAGTGAGGAGCTGCAATCAGAGAATAGGATGGCTGTAGGCTCAAACTTACCCTCAGCAAATAGCCTGCTTAGGAGGACCAATCTTCCATGAAAACACAGGTAAAACTGAAATCCAATTGCAAGCTGAATGCCCATAAACCACTGCATGCTGTTTAATGTGAACAAAGTGTGTAACCAAAAATTCTGACCACAAAGGAATGTTCTAAGAGAAAACAGAATAATTACACTATAAAACTGGAGATTCATTATGCAAATCCAAAGGACTACCCCAAGTATAGCTGGGGGAAAAAACCCCAAAAAATCCCATGAAAAAACTAGTTGTTCAACATACATGAGGTTTCTGGCTATTGCCACAGAGTATCTGTTGAACTGCCAGCCTATGAACTGCATGCCTAAAATCACATTCATCTTGTTCATGCTCTCAGCTCCAACAGAAGTTGTTTTACCATTTTAGTGACAACTGGCTGGTGCTTTCAAAACCAATGCACCTGGCACTCGATGTTTCAGAAGTTCAGTTCCTAATTAACAGGAAGCCTTAACCTCCAAGCTAATGCCTGTACATATCACTGTTTTGCCAAAGTGCTCAGCTGGAGCACGTGATCAGGAGATAAACCACTCTATCAATGAGCAATAAGCAGTGCTGGAATTATGCAAATACCACTGAAGTTCTCATATATTGTATGGAAACAAAGTTAGGGGAAATATTTTCAGCTTGATTTCAATACCACTTTGAAATCATAACAATTCTAAATCACACACACACCTATTTTTGTTTTACTGCTATGCACTCGTAATATTCTTAAAGGAAGCCAGGACACTGACGTCTACAAAGTGACCCAGTCATTAATGAAAATACACAAAATCAGCATTTACATGACATGGTACTCTGCAAAATGACATTATGTCTCCAAGAGTAAAAGACAGCCTTTCCTAGAGAAACCTAGGAGATTTCTCTAACCTTGTGCTCAGACACTTTTTCCTTCAGTAGAGTCACAGAATTACTCTTTTTTTTACCAGATTACCCAGATCTCTCTTTTGAAAAGAACTCAACCTTTCTACTACAACAGTCTCTTGGATGATAGAGGTAGATGGCTAAAGCAACAGGAGCTTTGAACTTTGCAGCTGGAATAGTGATTACTATCAGAAGACTTGTTACAAAACATTCAGTGCTTAGAAAGAACTTTGTTATCAATCAATGTTGCTTTTAGGTCCCCATGGCAAACTTAAAATTTGCCTATGGAGTTCTTCACTCACAAGCCTTGTATTACCCTGCCTGTTTAAGAAGCAGGAGCCTGCTAACAGTGAAGTCACTGGAGGGAAATGGAGTCTGGTGTACCCATGCAACCTCCTCTTAGTGCACAGGAGAAGAAATGAACTCTGTGGTTAGAACTAATACACACAGTTGGGCCAAGACAGAGCAACAGAATAACTTCTCCAATTTTTTGGGCTAAGGAACTGTGATACTACTGGCAAAGCATTTGTAAAACTTAAGACTGCTTTCAGTGTAGTAGTTTGTTTTCCTTTAGCTTTTGTAGCTGCCTGACTTGGTAACAGCATTAAAAACCCAGCCCCTTCTAATGTATTTACCTGCTCCCAGTAAGTGTGAGCTTTCTAACTTTTTACATCTCCTAAATCTTTTTTTGTGTGTTCCCTTAAAGGATGCATTACACCAAAAAAATTATTGATGTGCCAGAGATATTTCAGGAGATTTGAAACAGGTAACTGACAATCTTGCCAAGTAAGGTCTGAAAATATAAAGCAAGGATCTCCCTTTATAAGATATTTTGCTGCCTTTTAAGTCAAAAGCTGCATTCCTATGCCCTTCCAAAAGCACACTGAAACTTTAGGGTTAACAGGGAGTATAGACTTAGGTTTACTTCTGCAGTGTCTCAGTAGTTTTCTATTGCACTTCTTACTTGTTTTACCATCAACTATCAAAAATCATTAACCAACTTGTTAAGACTGCTTCTGGTATACCAAGACTTGAAAAGGGGGTGGGGAAGCACAACAGCTTCTCCACTACAATTCCCTGAAATTAAAAACTAACAAACAAACTTGAAAAAGAAATGTCCTATTGACTTCCAGCTTTCTCAATGTCAATAGTCTGGTTTTAACTTTCAGAAAAAGAGGGTTTTATGTGCACTTGTAACTTCATTGCAGGTTTTAAAACATGCATCAGTTCAGTCATGAAAGTTTTCTTGATGAATTTCAGTGGAAGCATCTGCATGAAGAATCTGCAAACTGCTACTATGTTCAACTAACTACAACACTTTAGAATATTACTACTTATACTACTTAAGGAAAATGTCACATATTTTACTTCTAGTAAGTCCATTGGGAGATCAGAGAGAAATTTAAATCTGTAGAAAAATGTCTGTTTGGCACCTGTAATTTGGCACATCCATTCTTTGAAGCTCAAATGCTGTAATTCTGAATGCTACGGATTGTCTTAACACAGCAGTTGCTATAAAGCATAAGAAGGTAAACAATTTACCGATATACCTCATTACTTTTCTTCTCCTCCAGTGTAAAAATTCCCCTGAAGTTTGCAAATCCCTTAGTGAAAGGGTTCCCTTTAGCTTACCCTCTTAAGATCTGACTCGGACTGAGATGAGCAAAGCCATCTCCTTCCCGAAGTAGTCCACACATTTTCTGCACAGTCACCAAATTCCACAAAACAACGTGATCTTCATACAGTTGCACATTACTTTGTTTACAGCAACACTAACTGCTTCAAACTGTGGCCAACACAGTTATTTTTAACATGAAGTTTTTATAATTTGGTTCATAGGTGAAGTTCTCATTTATTTGTCCAGCACCTCACACAAACATGAGTGCCCACACTGGGGTCTGTTTACCGACACCACAAGCTGAAAGGAAATCTTGGGCTTAAAGCGCCCAAAAAGCATCTTTTTATACGAACTCTGACCACCTGTTATTGTAGTTCCAATCTCTGTTTCCCTTGTAAGTGTGCCACTTTATTGGAAAGTGGCAACAGAAAGGACTATTTAAAGTGTAAACCTTCTCTGTAACCTATGTGACCTACCATTTATACTTTGGATGCAGCTAATTAATTAGCTCATACCGCAACCCTTCTTCTGAGCAAAATCAGCCTGCTTTAGCTTCTCCTCTTATTGCACATATTATATCTGTTGTAAAAAAATAATCAAAGATATTTCCTGTTGCTTTGATGTTGTAACCACTTGCACTAGTTTTACGTTGTTTTAAAATCTCCCAATAAACGTGACAAGAGGAGCAAAACTGCAAGTTCCCCAATTGGTGTAAGAAGGCAGATTCAGAACAGGAAAGACTCCAAGGTACAGGTTCCCATCTACATCTCTTAGTTTGGAGTAGCCTAAATATTATCTTTGAGGCATGCCTACAAGTTTAATGGGGGGCACCCAAGATCTACATTCCCAGTCTTCCTAGGGAACAGATTCAAATTTGTGAACACCTCGAACCCAAGCAATGGAAGGCAAATGCCTGTCATGATCCTTGTCTGATTCAGGCTGGCTCTGGGCACGCTCTGGCTTGGGGTTCAAGGAAGGTGGGTCAGGTTGCTGCACAGACATAGTCCTGCGGAGGTGGTTCCTCTTGCGCAGAAACTCGGGTTGGGAGTGGAGGCCAAAGCTACCTTTTCTCAAGATCATCCGAGAGTTGTTCTTTTTGGGTCGTGAATGGAGATTAAACTCCAGCGAGGCCAAGTGGGCTGCATAACCTTCACTGAGGAACTGAAATAGGAAGGAAAGAAAGAGTGACAAATTACTGCTACCTTAATCTCTGAACTCTATGAGGAATTAAGTTTTGATCTTTGGCATCCCAGTTAGACACCTACAGAGTACTAATACTCTTCTCAATTTTTTTTTCAGTGACCTGTTCAATTTTGTCATTCAGCAATATGCAATGCATGCACTTGTAGATACAGCCTGCAGCCGCTCAGTTCTCTCTACCATCCACCTTGCCAGAAAATGCCTCATTTGTAACCAAAATTGTCCTTTGAAACGCTGCTCTGGGTGTGTGTGTTTGCACATGCGTTCATGCATTTCCTTCCTGATTGAATAGCAAGAGTTACTTACTTGACACTGTGCCTGGTATTTCTTTGTGGGTCGTCCAACTATGTAGATCTGGGATGGTGACAGAGCCAAGACACTGTACACAGAAATATCCTTCATGGAACCATATGCAGCACAGATTTTGATGTGGCACTGAAACAAACATTACTTCCAAAGTGAACGCTCTCTTGAACACCCTGCAGCTACAAGGCTGGCACTTGAATTGCAGTGAAGCAGCACATGAGTTCATTGTTAACAATCTCATTCTGTAAACTACAGATATCTAAATCTGTCTGCTTGCATGCCAGCAAGAACTACAGCTATGCACACGGGAAAATCCAAGCAGTTCATTTATTTATTTATTATGATAGAAGGTCCCTTTGGATGTTTTATCAGCCTTCCTTGCTCTTTAAAAAGTGAGAAAAGAAATGAGGAATGGCAAAAAGACATTGTGATGACTAGCGAGATTCACTGTTCAGAAAGAAGGGAGATCTCTTACTTTACTGAATGACATTCACTGGAAAGAGGTTCTAAGACTATAAATAGGTTTCTAGTACCTCTTGCATAAGATTCCGGAGAAAAATGGTCTTTTGTCGCAGTGGGTCATGAACCAGTCCATCTGAGAAGAAGATCATCCCTTGTGGGAAGTTGTGTTGAGACAACCATGAAACCACACGCTGTTTTTGCATATCTGGACGTCCAGTGATATAGATAATCAGATATCCCAGGTCCTGCCAATGCCTGTCATAAATAGCAGGTAAATTATGTAGGTGCAGGAAGAGAAACAATACTCACAGGTCAGATCAGCTTCTTAGCCCAGTTAGAAGTCAGCTGTTATCCTTCAGCAAGTGAAGAGCAGCATGCCTAAATTTCTGCTCCTATCAAGCAATTAAGTAATACTGTCCACACCTTGAGGGAGACAGAGGAAAGCAAGAGAGACTCTTATACAAAATATTATCTAAAATATGAGAGCTATTTAAAAATGTATTTAGAGTAGACCTTGTTAAACATCAAGCCCTGCTATCTTTGAAACTCTTAATGAGATTTCCTGCCATTTCAGCTCTAAGGAAGGGAAACCTTTGAAAATTGACATCCCTACATTCCCATGCAGGTTCCAAAATCAGAACTGCATTTCCCCATCCAGTGAGACATAGCTGACTTGCAATAAAGGATTAAAAGGCTTTTAGTTTGCCTCCAAAAAACATTCTTGAATTCACAGCACCGGATACTTCTGAAGTACAAGTATGTGCTTATGTGAAGTTAATGAAACACAAAATACTCATGGAATCATTATTAATTCACCACACACACTTTAAGACCATATTCCAAAGAAGCAACTTTTAACCTTTAGGCAACTTAAACTACAAATTTCTAAGTAATCCACAGCATTCTAGGATTCCTCTGAAAATCAGGCAGACCTGCTGTCCAAGCAAATATAGAAATGTATCTGCAAAGAGAATTGCTGTTTATTTAGTAAAAAACCCCTTTTCCTTCCTACTGTGTTCAGTAGCCATAGAGTTAGCGTTCAAACCTCACTTACCTGACAACATCAACAGCCCCTGCTCTGACTTTGGGGTCACTTCCCATAATTGAAACACTTGCTGCAAAGGAACCATCAATGCTGAACACAACACATTCCATTCCTCGGGGAAGCACCGTCAGGTAGCTTGCAGCACTGCTCTGGTCCCCTCTGGAGAGTGAAAGTAATAAATTTATTTAAAGAGCAAAGTGTCAGAATGTATTTTCTGCAAGTTCTAGTTAATACTTGAAATTAGTTCTGACCTACAGCTTTTTAATAAAAATCACGGTCAAATAGGGCTTCTGATTCCAGTCCTACATGGGGCAATTAAAATTTACACTTTCAGAAAGCAGTTTTCCAAAGAGAAATTTGGAAGGTAACTTCAATAAGAAATCACGCATGTACAAATAGCTAAAAGAATTAGGGGAAAAAAATCAAAACCAGCCTGAAGTACTTTAACTACTACTCAAACTTTCTCCATAAGCTAAACAGTTGCTATTATAAGCATGAGCTATTCTTCTATCCTTGCAAATTACAATGGGAACGCCAGTCCAGGCAAGTTAAAAAAAAAGCCCACCCCAAAACAACAGAGTAATAAAAGGCTCTTCTCATGGAAAGGAATGTGAAATGCAATCTTTTCCTCACAATGTCTTTTTCCCAAGAGGTCTGGATGTCAAAAAATGGATAAATCACAAGGCAATCCAAAGCTCTTCCCATCCCACCGCCTCATGTTCCCTGAAAAATGTAATCTGAAATCACACTTTCTTTCCTTTAGAAATATTGTATGATCTAGGAAGTTATATCTGGTGATGCAGACTCTTAAAATATGTCCTGATAGCTTAACGAGCAAAACCAGGACTGTTTCTTTTGTTCCTCTTTGAAACTTACTCCAGCAGTCTAAAGCTTCACTTCTGAATACAACCTAATTTGTGTTTCAGTAACTCTCTTTTCTTGAATTTCTACTACAACGAGGTAAAACATTTTCTCCTGCTCAATTAGCACTACATAGGATTGTAAACTAATTTTGGACTTTGTTATCTGGTGGGTAACAGCACATTCTGTTTCAGTTAAATTTGCCCCACTGATTTAATCTCCAAAGAGAGATTAAAGGATTCAAAGGAAGTTTTTACTCAGTTTTGAAGTTCCTTCCTGATCACAGCTTTAGTTTCAGCTTGGCACTATTACCTGACCACCATTTTGATGGGATACACACCAACTCTCAGTCTCTTCTGTTCGGGTATGTTGTATGATATCCGGCCACTGCTGTTGGATATCTCTGTGTCAAAGTACACCCACCTACCCGAAGATGGCTCAGTCATTATGAAGATATCCACCTGCAAAAAACAACAGTGATCTAGTGGGATAGTCAGCAGAACACCCCTTATTTACGGGGCCTGTCAAGCCTAGATCATATTAGTATCTCCAATCGTGGCTGATACTAAAAGCTCACAAGGAAGTTTTGCAGGAATTTCAAAACCATAAAAACTTCAGTTTTTACTCAATTAGCGAATCCTTCCTAACATACAACACAAGGGTTTATTGCCTTCGTAATTTAAAGCACTCAGCTTAGCACTACAGGTGCCAAACACAGACATAGACCTCAGAAATTTGGCAGAAGGCCTAAACTAGGAAGAAGATAATTTCAGCTTGCATGCATATATTACATTTTTCAATACTAACTGTACAAAATGGAAAATGTCATCTGGTTATTAGCAAAATGAAATCTTTCTCAAATCATAACCTTGCCTACAAAGGCAAACCCAGAACACTTCAAATTATCAAAAGATTTCCTCAATATGGGTTTCTTCAACCAAAATACATAAAGGGTATTAAATACTTTGCTGGACCTGAAACAGGCCAAGTGAAACCTCCATGCTACAGGTTTACCCTCAGCGCAGCAGCATTGCTCCCTTAATGTGCACAGAAAATCTTACAATCTCAGTGAATATAAACCGATGTGTTCACTTGATGCTTGGCTTTATCAGCTGTAAGCAGGCAGCTTTAGGAATGACAGTTCCAACTGTGTCACATTACTACTGATTTCTAAAACTAATCTTTACTCATCCACGTGTAAGAGAAACCACAGCCATGTAGCCCCCGGAATGCCTATTCCTTTATCCAGTTGTTTTACTTGGATAGGATGATACGCAATTTTCCTTTAGTGGTTTGTCAAACCAAATTTCCTCCTTGCTCAGAGAGTTAATTGTCTCCAGTAGGTGGTCCAGCTGGATGGTAGGTTCAGAAATCACTGGACACCACACTCACCACTAACTAAAGGAGATATTCAGCATCAGGTAAGAGGGGTGAAGGCTGAGAAAAAGGTCAGCTTTCAGGAAAGCCTACTTAGAGCATATTTTTGCTGAAGTAGTGGGGGCTAGTAATGTATTTCCCCTCACTGTAAGGCTTTCTCTGATGCTACACGTTTGCTACACTGAACAATTGTTTCTAGAAAAATAAGAAAATTGAGTACTCGGACTTCACCTTTTCACCTGTTAAAGCCACCATGTCCAGAGGTCCATACATAAAGCGCCCAACTAGTACCTGAGGACCATCTTCTGCTGCAATGACATCATTAGCTCGGTGATTAGCAGTCACATTCTGAAATAAGAACAGAAGGTTGGAAGTGTAACGTGTGCTTTTGTAATAAGGCTACTCTCTCTATTATGTTATGAACAGTGACACAGAGACACAGTCCTGGACAATGTGTCTGAGGTACATCACTGCACCTGAGAACACCAAGCAGAGCTGTGCTCCCACTTCAGCTGGAGCCTTATTTCCACTGATGGTGGGTTCCTGAATAGACTTTCTAGTGAGAGTGCTCAAGACAACAAAATAAGAGAGAACATTTAAAGGAATGCAAATTATCTTTCACTTCAAGTGGTGCCATATATTCATCTGTTGTTTAAAGAAAGAAATATTCTTTCTTCCAACATGTAGCGATAAACAAAAATAAATTGTTCCTATTCCCTAACTGTTAATTTGCTTGACTCTGGATTAAGTTAAGAGGTTATTGCTCTTTAGTAATATTCAGTTATGTAAACTCACTCTCCAGGAGATCAAACTCCATTTAAATTTCTGCCAAGCCCATGTTCCATGGCTGCCGCATATATTTAGATTCAAACTTACTCTCAATTTGACATGTGTCCTTTTGCGTAGCCATTTTTCTCGTGGATTAGATGGACTTAGTGTTTCTGGATCCAGGTTATCATTTTCCTTGAAATTTATATTTTCGTACCTCATCACCTGAAATCATATTAACATTTTAATAAATAGTGTGTGGCCTGGGGAGACGTGGTACTTGGCAAAGAAAGAGAAACTTATACTGTGCTACAATTGAATGACACTACAGAGCCAAAAACACTATGGAAGTAGCGAGACGTACAGGCCATATACCCCCATTAACTGTACAGACAAATAAACTGCTTTCACTCTGTTGGCCAACACGTAATCTCAAATACTTCTTGAACAGCTTTTTCCATTCACAACAGCTTACACACTCTTCCAGAGAAAATGGTGAAAACATAAGGTTGGTATGAAGTGACAGTCACATTGTCTGCTTATGCTCTGCAAAGTCAGTAAAGCAGCTTAAGACCACAGAAGCCTTTTTTAATGTTCAGCTTGTGAACATGCAGAACTCTATTATGTTATACAAACTACATATTCTTACAACCTAAATATCACACACTTACCAAGAAACGTGCACGTCCAACTCAGATCTCAGGACACAACCCACAGAATTCAAGATCAGGGTGTGGGTTACGCTACATTTCAATTGAAACCACAAACCCTGTCTTACTGAAATCTGTGGGTTCCACCCTGCAATCACAGATACCCATCTTGAACGAGAAATAGCTTTGTCTGTCTCTTTCACAAACTGGCAGAAAATTTCTCAAGTTGAACAGCTGGTTTTCTGTGCTGAAGTTTTCCACTCTGAGCATCCTTGCTAGAAGAGTGACCAGCACTGGGAGCAGGAGCTGGAGGGCGTTCACACTCAAGAGACCAGCTAAGAGCAGCTATGAGAGCGGCATGCCACTGACATCTGCCAAACACACAGACTGATTCTTGGGTTAATCCAAATTGTGACTGGCTATTGTGTGAGGGTTACTGTGGGTTCTTGGAAGAACACTTATTCTGCAGGTTTTACTTGAACACCACTTCATTTTTTTCTGTTAGCCCAGGTGAGATTTCTCAACCTTGTCCCTTTCTCTATAGGTCATTTTCAGTAAGTGACTGTGAGTGGGTGCCTAATTACGGACACAGTAGGAAAAACAGACCCATAGGACGACTCAGAAATAGATTCTGAGGAGAAAGTGCTCGCAATGCCTCAAAATACTCCTGTAAAGGAGAGACTCAATTTTTTTACAGAAGCAGTACTTTCAAACTGCTGGTTTACTATCAAGTGTATGCTAATGTGATATTTAGTAGGGAGATACGTAGTTATGTAAGCTTGGAGATAGCCTATTCCTTCAAAAACAGGAGGAAATTAACATATAATACAGGGCTGTAAATGATGTGGTGCATGGGAGGGGTGAGTAAGGTATGCATAATAATGCAATATTCCCAGTCACAGTCAGCAGTGCTAATGGTGGGCTCACTGTCCCCTTCACCTCTCCAATAAATCCACATCTGTCATTCCCACATACAGTTGAATGTGATGCAAACACAGTTAGCCATCTAACTGAACTAAAGATTAAAAGACCAACTCTTGGAAAATGCAACAAAAAATCACAAGACTATCTGCTGTGGACAGAAAACGTAAAAAGATCAATGACCTGTCTTAGAATGAAAGCCACAACGTCTGTTGACTCCCAGTAGCTGGCATGGAAGAGATGCGGAAGGGCCACCGTTGGAAAGGCTGTCAGCACATCTGGACAATACAAGGCATAATCTATTCGTTTTGTTCCCCACCACTTTGCAGTAACTACAAAAAATGAAACAAAATAGCGTAACATTTATATATCTTATTAAATTGCTTGCTATCTTTATGTTTCAGCTAGATAATTGAACTAAGTTTTCTGGTTTTTTATCTTGACATTTAGAGTCTGTTGAAGGTATCTATTATAAACAAAACTAGTGTTTTTACTAACTGCATCATCACTTAACTGTCTGCAATCTAAACAGTTCTTCTGGGTCCAAGTTCTGGGAACCAGAAATCACCTCAGCATGATTCCCACTGCTTCCTGGAAAATGTACAGTGAAAGACTAGTACTTTTATGATCATAATTGCAAATACTTCCCAAATAGTAAATTGAATATCTATCTATCTATCTATCTAACTAGCTACAGTCCACATCAGGACAATATAATGATCTGTAGCACTTTTAATTATATATACTAAATCTTATCTATCTATATTGCTTCATGCATGGAACATAATTGGAAACCCCTGTTACCTAGAAACTGTTATGACTATTTATGAGTGGCACCTTACTATAAAACTATGACTTCACTTTATCTACTTAATTACAAACAGAAAGGGGAGATAAATTGTGCTATATAAAATTTTCTCCACAAACTTCCAGATACTTTTCCTTTTCATAATAAACTTTTCACAGAAAACGCTGTGGACAGAAGGGTTGTCGCTACATCTAACAGCACATGGCACCAGGCTTCACTCACTGTTAGTGAGACACGCCGATGGCAAGCTTTCTGTTGACCCTGAGTTTTCACTGTTTGCGCTGGCCAAGCTCAACTTTCTTGTTTTCCCTTGTGATTGATCAGATGTATTTGGAGATCCAGAACTCTCCTGAGAGAAGGGTATGTTCAAAGAGCTGTTCTCAAGGAACAGAGCACTGTGGTTGTGGAGAACATCACCTGCAGGTTACAGAAATGAAAATAACAACAACAAAGCAATTAACATCATCACTTTGAAATAAGTGTTCATGTGTATATTTTATTTGTTTATTTATTAATTCCTTTTTAAATGAGCGTTTTCCTGAATAGTATCACATTTAATGCCCATGAATGGAACTCCATTCTTCAACATGACAACAGCATGACTGTATGGAGAAAGCACACTCTCCTGCCATCAAAGTGCACTGGCACTCAACCCCAACCATTTTAAAGCCATTTTCTAAGAAGAACTACAGAGCCCTGGGAGTCTGTGATACTTCTCTTGTCCTCTTCCTGTCATAAGCAAAAGGACTTTCGAAAGAGATTCTTTAACAAGGTTATCTGCTGGTTTGCATGTTACCATTTCATTTGACACCACGAAAACTCTCATTTTAAGACCTACTTTCACAAGCCCAGGTATCAGAGAAAGGAAAAAAATACCGTCACTAGAATTAATCCTTTGTGAATGAAGAACCCGAAATTCCAGAAGAATCTCAAAGTGCTTGCATTTAAATGGGAGGATTTCACATTCACTGAAATACAACACATCTTGAGTATAAAAAACAGCAGTGATTGAACTCTGAGTAGAGCTTTAAATACAAAACCATACCATGGAACATTTGCTGATCATTAGCACTCAGGAATTTTTATTTTATAATACATCCAACAGACATGGTTCCCAGATTTTCATGCTTGTAAGGGAATCTTCTAACCCAGTGCTTTAGATGAACCCAAAGAGACCACCAGTAGTTTCCAAACCACTTCTAAAGCCTCTGTTTCAAGAATCACTGAAAAGGGTTACCTTAACACAGCAAAGCTGGTAAAACCTACCAAAAAAAGGTTTTCCATTTGAAAAAGAGCCTAAGCAAACTATTCTTCCTATGACAGTTATTTAAAAAAAGGTTCAGCTTTTTGAGGCAGCCTTAGCAATTTATCAGTGACAGAATTTGTGTCTAACTAATCTAACTAGCAGGATTTCTGAGGTCACAGTCAGGCTTTACAGCAAGTCTGAAAGCAAAGCAGGGTATGAATTTCCATTGAAAGGAAACTCAGAAATGGGGGGTGAGGAGAGAGCATATATTGCCTAGTCTGGACTGTCCCTCAACTTAGCTACTCCTCAAATAAATTCATGAGGAACAGCCATATCTTCACATATTTCAGTGAAGCCAACAACTAGAAACAAACCTTCTGCAACCCAAGATCAGCTGCTGCTTTTCAAACTGATTTGCAGCCAAGGTACACCATATTTGAGCAGATAAAAGAAAGGAGTTGCTGTACCCTACTGCACAGAACAGGTTCCCAAATACAATTCTTCTAGCTCCAACAAATAGAAAACATTGGTATTTTACCGTATTAGCCTCCAACCTTAAACTCTGAATCCTGAGGAACCTTTTCAAATATCCCATTGAGCTTGAATTCATGTCTGAATCTGTAGCAAAATGAATAAACCTAATGTGCAAGCATGTACAGAAACAAAGTCCTTTTTTTGCAGAACGTGACAAGTCAAAGATACTTCACACCTGTACGATTTTATCTTATTTTCTATAAAGCCAAAAAAGCACAACTCCTTCTACTAGCACCTTGTTCGTCCATATATTCCTCTTTCCTCCCCAGAAATCAGTCTATTTCCATTTTCTTCCAGGATTCAAACCATTTTTATCCAACATAATTATTTGCTTAGTAGCCCACCTAGGAGAAGAGCAATCAAGATTGCTCAGTGCTCTGATCTGTCCTAGTACATAACTGAAGTGACCAACACAAACACTATCTGAAGATCTAGGCAAAGGTCAACTAATTGTAAAAAAAAATTGTTTAAAAGGATAGTTAAAGACGTGGAATTTTTCAAGTGACACTTCAACTAGAACAGTGGTGTTGCCTTCCAACTGCTCTGTAACAAAACTAGTATCAATCTCATAGATACAATAATTTTTAATTAGCAATCTTCTTTGGTTCCATACTTGCTAAGTATGTGTGCCACTCAGTCCCAGATGATTTGGTTTTAGCACATTAGCACACTGGTATCTCAAATCCTCTTGAGCTGTGGAAGGAGAGAATGCTTAAGAAAACAACAGATAATGCGAGGTATGAAAACAAGCACTGTACCTAATTGGTGAGATCTTCCATCCCCTAGTGGGTATCTCTGGTACCGTGGGACACTGAATGGAGGAAGAAGATGGAATCTTTTCTCCAGCAATGGTTCAAGTCTGCAGGCAGAGGGGTCAGCAGAGTGAAAGAAACTGTACACTTGGCTGCAGGCTGGTCGGACCTGGCATACTTGGATAAGAATAAGACAGAGCTCAGTACTGCCCCTTTATGATTTTCAAGGAGTCTATACAGAAATACGGTTAATATGGTCTTCTGCAAACTCCAGATTAGCATACACCTGGCCAGAAGAAATTTAACTACATTGTTTCCTATTTCATATGCAAAGAACACTTCACTGCACATGAGTTTACAGAGAAATCACAATCTGAGATGCAGGCACATAGCAGATGTGAAGAACAGTCAAAGAAACAGACAGAAGCAAGGAAGAAAAAAGAAGTTTAAAAATCTTTTAAGTATGGTATTACATTACAGCTGTGATGTTCAGCACTTAAAATATTTACCAGCAAAATGGTTTGCTGGGACTATCACATCCAGAGGACTTAAACCTAGATGACAGCAGAAACAGGCAGGCGACAGAAGGCAATGCAGTTTCTCCAGTCACCTTATGGATGCTCATGTATAGAAATGAGGTTCGTCATACTGTAAGAGCAAAGCAATGTTTATGATTTTTGCTAAAGGTGTGCAGCTCCTGAAGGTTTGGGGCTACAATGGAGAATGCAAATCTTAAAATCATTTACTCAGTTAATAAGACATTCTTTTGACTAAACGCACAGAACTGAAACATAACTTAGATGGGTGATCACATGAGACTGCTAAGGTCTGTAAGACAGTCAGTGTAGTCACTTTTCAACACACCACACTTCAATCATACTGAATCAAATCAATTCATTATAGGCTCATTAAACTTAGTACACTTTGTACAGTACTGCATTACATGTTACAATGGTCAGTTTATTAACTACAAGAGTAAAGCAATGACTAAACTATAACATTTATTTGAGATAATTATGTCTTCTTCCTATGAACTCCATGCAAGCATGACATGTTTTCAAACCTGCTGTGCTATACAGTAAACCCTAGAGGCTACGTGGCTGTGGTTTCTCTTATACACGGGCAATTAAAGGTTACTTTTAGAAATTAGTAGTGATGTGACACAGTTGGAACTGTCATTCCTAAAGCTTCCTGCAAAAGCCAGGCTTACAGCTGATAAAGCCAAGCATCAAGTGAACACATCGGTTTATATTCACTGAGATTGTAAGATTTTCTGTGCACATTAAGGGAGCAATGCTGCTGCGCTGAGGGTAAACCTGTAGCATGGAGGTTTCACTTGGCCTGTTTCAGGTCCAGCAAAGTATTTAATACCCTTTATGTATTTTGGTTGAAGAAACCCATATTGAGGAAATCTTTTGATAATTTGAAGTGTTCTGGGTTTGCCTTTGTAGGCAAGGTTATGATTTGAGAAAGATTTCATTTTGCTAATAACCAGATGACATTTTCCATTTTGTACAGTTAGTATTGAAAAATGTAATATATGCATGCAAGCTGAAATTATCTTCTTCCTAGTTTAGGCCTTCTGCCAAATTTCTGAGGTCTATGTCTATGTTTGACACCTGCAGTGCTGAGTACTTCTACTAGTGTGGCATTCAGTAGTATTAGTTCCCAATGAGAGCAAGTGCAAAACACCTCAAACCACTGCAACCACCCCAAGGCAGAACAGAGTTGCTTTGCGGATGGAACTAAATGCTCATGACTTACTGGGAATTGAGATTTGTAGAGGACAGCAAGCCTCTTCCAAGGATAATCAGCACATAGAGAGTGGAAGAACGATCTGTACACAGATCAAATGATCTGTGCTTTAGACAATAAGAACTGAGTCTACACAGTGAGAGGACCACAGAAGACAGTGCTAGAGGGTAACCAGAAGAACTGTTAAGGAAACGTTAAGGGACCAACAGAATATTAGGCAGATGAGAATTAAAAGGCATTCGGCAAGGAAATAAAAAAAAATGGAATGAAGATCTGGTTTTATACAAAGTCTTTTTAGTGTAAAAATAAATAAATATTCAGAAAGTAAAACACAACAAAATGCATCTGGTCTGCAAATGTAACAGGCAAACCTCTAGATACAATTTCCTTCCCTTATGTTTTAAAAACTGATTCTAATCAGAAAAATAAATAAAAACATCTGAATTTTTTCTGTCATATTTTCAGGTAGCTTTCTACCTTTCATTTCAGTAAAGGCGGCACCTGATTTCTCAACTAACTTCCAGCTGTCTGCATAGTAGGTTTCAATTTGTCTGTTTTCCTCTCAACTGTGCCATAATTATCACTTTAAAATGGGATTCTTCTATCATATGTACCTCTAAAGACTAATTATGCTTCAAGTAGACTCTGCTCAGCTCAGAATGTGTTTGAAATGCCGGTCAGTTGAGCTGCTCTTAAAGCATGCTCCCTGCAGGATACCAGAGGACAAATGGAAGTGAGAGCTAATTTGAAGAAAATAGTTTTAAATACTAGTAATTAACATGAAATTTTCCTGTCAAAGTGTCTGGAGGGTACCAGAGCTGAGACTGGGGAAAGAAGGACTACTGGCTAGAAAAAAAAATTGGAGTCCTGAATTGTTGCCTCTTCTCACTGTTGCAATGGATTTTTCTCCCTTACCTGATAAATGAACGTACCATTTCCTATGAAGGTGCTGTGCTATCCTAAGCTCATACCATGCAAAGAGACAAATCATGTAGTGAATACTGAAAAGTGAAGTAAGCTTTTACTTTTACAGAAAAATTTTAAAAATCCAGATGTATTAGAAATAAAACAAAAAATCCTCTATGCATCTGATCACCAGGTTCTGTTACCAGAGAGGAATAATGGCTCACAAGCAACACACCAACACACTTGGGGGCCAAATTCACAATGAAGCCAGACGTGTACAGGTAATGCTTGACCAAGCACAGACGTTATTTTTGGTATCGTTTTCAAGGACTGATCCCTGGTAAAGCATGAGCTTCATGTTGTATGACATGGAATATATGATTAACAGCAGAGCAAAAGACACACTTCTGCAAACGGGTGAGCAGTGACATCCCTGGAACAACCCTCATTATCTCAGTGCCTACCCACATCAATATTCCCATCTTTTAAAGGAAGAAATTTACCTCACTCCCTAGTATTTAACTAGGCTCCTTTATTTACCTCCTTTTTGTGTGAGTCTCTGTTTATGAAGGTCATTACCCATCTTGAATTCCAACCCCAGGAAGAGCTTACCATCCAGGCCAGGCAGAACAGTGCTCCTCATGGCCAGCACCAAACCAAGTGGTGACCCAAAGAGGAAGAAATCAGACACCTCAAATTCAAATCGGCCCAGGTTTACTTCTGAGAGACTGGAATCCACAAGAGGAAGGTCTGCGTCATCTTTCAACACACTTGAGTGGATGCTGAGCAAAGAAAATGTACTGAATCAACAATAATGAAGAGGGTATTCCCAAAATAGGCTACTTAGAAAGTTCTAGCGCCTGTATTTAGATCCAAGCAATACACTTTGAAACTGCAGACTGATATTGCACCATAGCAGCCACTTACCATGATTTTCAGTGTGGTTGTTCAGTAAATTTACTACTTGCAACATTCAAGAGTTTTCTACAGTTCTTATACAGAATACTTACTGGTAAATTATGCAAGGACTATGAAGATTTAAGTTTACCTCCCCTCTCTTTTAGCAGTACAGATGTATGTAAGTTTATTCTGACTCTTCTGCTACATATTTTAACCTACTCCTACTGTGTAAGGACAATGGTATTAGAAGGTTACAGTCAAAGTATGTTACTTGGGTGCATAAAACGCATTGTTCCAATCTGTTCCCTGACCTATGACCTAGAATTTCACTACTTTTCAACTATTTGTTACAGGTTAAAATCAGTGATGCTTACAGAGAGCTTTTAAAATTATTTAAACACTTCTATTTACTTTGTATGCCACACATGCATGAGGTAACTACAGACCACTTATCCCTCACTGACAGAGAAAGGACTCTGCCATCATTTAGTTCTGCTGGAGATGAAATACCTACATTCAGAAGCAGAAAAGTAGTCTGAACACCTGCTGTCCAGCCATGTGACAGAGCAGAACATGCCTCCAGAGCATGGAGAGCCTGACTGAGAGATGCTGACCATGCTGACTTCAATCAGAACTGTAAGTGAAGCACTCGGGATTTATGTGCACCCTACACACTGTATCTATGGCCAAGCATGGATCAAAATCCAGAAATTCTGAAGACTGATCTCAAATCAGGCCAAACCTTCTTTCAGTCTGAGAACCTAGTGACATTCTCAACTTATAACCCAATGTTATCAACTGTAACCCTGGGGACCAAACTTAGGCCTTCATTTAATGCAGAAGTGAAGAAAGCCAAGAACTAAATCCATCAGCACGGCAGTTTGTAGTTACCTCTCTGTGCCATAAGCACTCGGACAAAGAGCACAAACTGAGACACTGAAACACAATTGCAATGTGTAAGGCAACAACATTCCTTTAAAAGAATGATCTCTGTAATGATCATCTGAAAAAAATGAAAGAGCGATCTCTGTAACCTCATCAATGATATGCCTCTGCTAAACTGCAGTAAATGAGATCATGGGGAAAAAGGTCTCAGTGATCTTGAGCAAGTTCCACAGACAGGAAAGCCAAGGCTTGGAGCCTCTCTTTATGTACAGGGTGGGTCAGAGGATGACGTGGTTTCATTTCATTTGTTTTTTTCACCCTCTTTACCTTACCAAGGAATTTTTTCTGCTGTCTTTAGCCTATGTTTGTCCAACTGTTCCTCAACAACTTAGCAACAGCCTGAAGTTTGAGTTCAAAATGGGAATGGAAGGTAACACTTCTATCTCCTTAAGTATAACTCATGTACAGTTTTCAGTTTAAAATCACAGACACACAGGAAATGAAAGACTTGGAAAAAACTGTTACCTTTGTCCTTCCGTTATCCTATTATTCTTCAAGTCTAAAGTGCTTTATACAAGTCAACATTGTGCTTTAAATGTAACACAGTACTTCTCCTATACAAGAACCTAAAAGTGACTGACCAAAAAAACCTTCATGTTTTCAGCCACAGACAAATGAAAAACCACCATTGTGCCTCAGAGGGAAAACACTTTACAATACAGCGATACCCAGAAAATGCAATGGTTTGAAAATAAAAGCAGAGTAATCAACAAAAACAAAGGAAAGGGTATTCAGTCAAAGCAAGAATATAAAACTACATTAAACTGCTACTAAAAACCCTGATAGACTTGAAATAAAGCACAGTAGGAAGTCTGCACTATACTCTAGCAGGACTGAAACTCAACACACAGTAAGACTTCTCCTTCTGCATCACTCACAATGAAATAAAGGAAACAAGATGATGGATAGAGGAAGCAAAAGCCCAAATAAGAGATAAAAAACCCAAACAGCTTAGAACAGGCAGAAACAATGAGACAAAGGAAATGCTTATGTTCCCATCAAATCTGCATTTCAGAGGTTTCTTAAGATCATGGAAAGCTAATTAAGTTAACTCTCCTTCCCTAACCTCCTCCTCATTTAAGCCAAATGTTTATGCAGGGCTTTTTTGTTGTTGTTTTAAAGTTGATCTGAATAGCTCATAGACCAAGGGGAGCACCCAAAGCAATTATCTCACTCTTTATAGAATAATAAAAATCCTGAAAATGAAGTCAGAGGGATCTTTAGATAAAAAGAGGTAACAAATTTACACTTATAAAGTATTCATCCATCTTGATTTGAGTGAGCTGCACTGAAGAAGCAGAACTTTGTGCATTCATTTTTGCATATTCAATACTTTTACATCTGAATAAAGATTAAATAAAAAACACTCCACATGTGAATATGTTCATACTACACCCACTAAATCCATGGGGTTTTCTGAGGGGGAGACAAGGACTTCAAGCAAACATCCAGAAACACACCACAAACAGCAACAGTGACTCTGTGCTCTAGTGCTGACAGGCTCCATTCAATGGCAAGGCTGTTTCTTTTACTCAGTCATTGAACACCAGTTACCTAGACAGGAGAGCATGATGCTGGGCTATAGCATCACAGTCATAGGTGGAGGAGTCACTTTGTTTCTGAGGCAACGGCTGCCTTGGCTCCTCATCCTCCATGATTCCCGAGATGTCAATATTGCTTTTGCTCAGGTGTTTGCTGTCACCCAGACTGGAGTCCTCTGTTAAGAGGGTATTATCCTTCAGAAAATGAACAGAGCAAAAGGAGGATTTAGACAAGACACCAAAATATGACAGAGCTTATATGAAATGGCTGCATTTATACATTTAACCTCACTTTATTCAAGAAAGGGTGGAAAGGGTTAGATTTCCTCTTTGCAATAGAAGGGAAGAGATGAAGACTAAATTTCACTGTTAAGATGCATAGCCTAAAAGCTGGAAGGAGAATCAGGAATTTGAGGGGGAGTCACAAGGGGCAGAAAGGAGGATTAACACAAAAACTTTATCCTTCATGACTTTATCATTCTTAATATCATAAGGTAATCAGAAGGGGTCTTAACTAAGTGCACAAAATGCCCACTACAATGTTAATGCTCTTGTTCATCATGTTCCATGGATGTGGGACCTGATTTTTAAGAATGCTAGCTTCTGCAGGATGCAAAAGGAGACCAGTGGCATCATATCTTCAAGGTTATTAATTTCTTTATTGTTCATTTCCTCCAGCACTTCTGCAGCTTGCACCAGCATCCTCCCTGATATATCCCTATTACTTCCAGACTTTTATTCTGGTGTCCATTTCAACAGCCCATGCAAATGATGCTTTTCAAAACAAATGCCACTGGACTGACCCTCCCCCATCCATGCACAAGATCTCCCTGCACAAGGCATAGCAAGATCTGGTTCTTTACAACAGCTGCGCATACAGCCTGGGGAACAAGAGGCTGGAGAGCAGCCCTGTGGGAAGGGACCTGGGGGTCCTGGTCAATGGCAAGTGGAATATAAGTCAGCAGTGCCCTGGTAGCCAAGAGGGCCAACTATGTTTGGGGTGGCATCAGGTCCAGCATCACCGGCCGGGCCAGGGAGGGGATTGTCCTGCTCTGCTCTGATCTGGGGCAGCCTCACCTGCAGTATTGGGGTAGTTTTGGTCACCACAATATAAGAAAGATATTGAGCCATTAGAGAGTGTTCAAAGGAGGGTAATGAAGATGGTGAAGGGTCTTGAGAGGAATCCAAGGAGTAGCTGAGGTCACTTGGTCTGGAGAAGAGGGGACTGGGGGAAGACCTCATTGCAGTCTGTAACTTCCTCGCGAGAGAAAGTAGAGGGGCAGGCACAGATAAATTCAATGAGGGAAGAATAAGTAGTTTTAGAAGGACAAGGAACTAGATCTCGGTGAGATGAACCTAGAGAACATCACTGGAAAACTGGCTAGGCATTGTACAAGAAAGCAGGATTCAAAGTTGTCCTTTTCCTTCTTGCATACATCTCTCTCCCAACACTCATTTAGATTCTCTCTACCAGTGCTCCCTGCTCCTGCCTTCTTAGACACAGCATTATGCACTATACCACTGAAGTGTGACTGGAACACTTCACAATCCATAGCCTCAAATACCCCAAATCAAAATACATTATCATACTCAGCACTTTTAAGCAACTTGCAAAAAGTATAAACTCCAACTAGACAAAATAGAGGAGAAAGTGCACAAAGCTTGCAGATGAGGGCTGGGACATAGATCAAGTGGCTTGGCCAAAGACATGCAGACAGACAATGGAAAACGTGCTCATTGAATCTGTTTCTCTGAAGCTGCAGAATTAACAAGTTCATAGGACATATAAGCTATGAGGTGAACCTTTCCACACAGTTCCACCTATAGTCTTCAACAGCCAAGAGGATCTTCTGCCTTCTGTAACAAGTGAATAATTAGTCTTATTCCCAAAAGCCATGTTACTAATGGTGAGTAATTCTCCTTCCTGGAAAAATTTAGACAATGTCTCTTTGCTCAAGAGTATTTACACCACATATAGCTCTCAATTGAACCAAGCAAGTCAGTGTCATTGAGCCCATTTTTGAGGAGAGGTAACTAAAGAGATGAAACAGTTTTTACACAGGGTCACAAAGCCAAAGAACAGAGCATGGGCACCTCACACAGTGTCAGCTCTAATTCACCACACCCACCCTCCATATGTACTTGAGCCTGAAGTACGTAAGATCGATTGAACTTTAATTTTCTTTCTTAAGTGTTGAACGCAATAATTAAGTTTACATACTAGCATTACATTAAAAACCTGTGCTTTTACTATCATAAAATCTTTCCTGGATCATAGGTAGAATTACTCTTCCCTTCTCTGCAAATGCAGCACTTGTATAGACACTCAGTTGTTCATTCACAGATCCTCAGATGACTTGCATTCCTTACGAAGAAAGAGGCATTCTTTCACCAGTCACCAAAACTTATTTGCAACACATCTTAATGCTAGACTACCAGGCACTAGCATAAGGAAATCCACACCATATGTGGAAAAAAAAAAAAAAAAAGAAAGAAAATATTTTGACAAAAAATAGGAGCCCAACAGAGATTACTGAGACAGGAAATGTTTGCATCTACAGTTAGGGATACCATAAGGGGCACTTGGTAATCCTATTTTAAAGGTTTACAGATTAAGCCTTCACTACTGATTTCTGATACCACAAAACTGAAGCTGACAACAACAAATTTTTGATACACGAACAAAAGCCCATTCTATCATTGGTAATTTACCAAATCCTTAATTTTTCAGTCTTATATGGAATTGATTTCCTCTAGGGTATGAATCTATAGGGTTTCAGTTGTGTGGATTTTTTCTCTTCACCTGGATGCTGCTGATGCTTCCTCTCCTGCTACTGTTCCGACTCTCATCAGCTGTATTAGAATTATAGCAGATGGCATCAAAGCCCAAAATTCCTCCAATGCAGTCACCTATGAGACACACCTGAGAAAACAGAGAGATTTTTTGGGGACATGTAGCAAGTGTTTTAAAAGAAACAAAAAGCATCACAGCACTGCAGAGGAGTTCCTGTCCTGCTTCGCATCCTCGTTACTGGTTTTTACACCCTTGGTTCCTCTTGCAGCTAAAAACGTGTAGCCACTTTCTTCCACTTCCTTTTATCTCCAGAAATATGCCCTATGCCAAGAATATCTGTCCCAGTGACTATTTTGACCAGTGGGAGTTCTCCCAGATGAATTAGAACTCTTCCAGCTACTTGCAGCCAGATTCCAGCTCAAAAAGTTCGTAGCACCAGACGACTGGTGACACAAAGATTTCCATTCACTTAACATTTCCTTGAGAGTCATAGAGGGAACAGGACTTCAACAGATTGTTACTCTCCTGTCAGGACAAGAGAACAGAACTTCAAAATGAGGTATTAAGCAGAGAGATTCACTTTTGATTCCCATTTAATATAAACATAGAGGCTACCTTCAAAGTATGACCTGGCAATTAAAAAAGCATAGAGTACTAAAATAGGGAATTCAACAGTTGGAATAATTTTATGGCACGTTTGGAACGTTTCCCACAAGCCAGTTCCACTGAACACATCTCTAACCCATAGGAGATGATTCTTGCTCCCTGTCCCCCTGTCTGTGTCTGAGCATGAGCAATAGCTTGATACCAGGCTCCAGCAAAGCCTCTCTCTCCAATTCTCAAACTGAAGCCATCATCTAGTCTATTATTCCCAAATCCTTTTAGTTTCCTTAACTCATTTCTAACCTTAATTCATCTTGGCTACAACACAAAACTATAAGTTTCGGATACAGGATGTTGTGCACTCTTTCTTCCAAGTGAAGATGTTAGGAAAAGCAAGTTCTTCAAGATGCAGGTAGGGAAAAACCTCAAACTTATCTCAGTGCATCTCAATGTGGCACTCTTCCTGAATTGAGTATATTTCTTGTACTCAATTAAAATTATAAAAAACATTTTAAAAAATAAAATATCAAAATACATTAAAGTAACATCTATCCCAAGACATTTCTGATTCTAAAGTTGTATTACAATTGAACAGCATGGCAATTTACTCTCTGATTTTCAAATTCCTATGTTGCACAATGAAGTCCACAAAGAACTAAAAATTGTATGATACAAGTAACCTTAATAAAACTAACAACACATTTTGTAGGGAATTGGTAATAACTTCTTCAATTTACCAAGGCATATGACATTATTATTGACATTAAGGTAATGGAGTTAACTTTTTCCAGATACTGAACAAAATCAAAAAGGAAATCTCTGATCTAATGAGCTTGCAACATAATTGGACAGAAGAGACCAAAATATGAAATGAAAGACACACACAGGGTGGGTGTCAGGATGTATGATATATATTTGATAAGTACAGGACTTATTTGGAGGCAGAGCTGAAATTTCTATCTAAGGAGAAAAGCAAAGCATTGTAACTGTAGACAGCACAGAGAAGTCACTTCTGTTTTAACAGTGCTAGTAATTGTTGATAGTGAAAATTCTGTGGAGTATATAGAGATCTGGGAGCCCCTGGTGGTCTAGTGGTTAAGGGCGTTTCGCTGTCACCGCTGAGCCCCAGGTTCGATTCCTGGTCAGGGACACTGCCCGGGCAGATGGAGCTCGTTAGCCCTTAAAGGCAACCCATCTACGTCCTGAGGACCTCGCTGCCACCGTCCAAGCTCGCTTGGCCCTGGCAGATGAACCTTAGGATTAAAGGGTGGGCTCAGTTCCGCGCACACTGTGTCTCACCTAAAAAATCCAATGCGCAGGCTGGAAGGTGTAAAGACCTTCCCCGGATCGTCACTCGCGAAGACTGGCCATTATTATTATTATTATTATTATTATTACAGAGATCAAGCACATTCTTTCACACGAAGTAATATAATAATGGCCAGTATATCTGATTCATAAAACACACCAAGGAGACTTCTTTGTAGTTTTGCCAAAGAAAAAACCCATAACACTAAATTTCTATTGAGAAAATTGTTTTCATATTATTCTGTAACTGGTATACTTCTTCTTTACATAATTACACTTTTTGTAATGTTTTATCACTGCAGTTGGTCTGGTTTTATGCTTCAGTCAAGAACAGTTTACTATGCATAGTAAAACTGGCTTCGACTCAAATTTTAGCCTAAAAATACTGACGTCACAGCATCATCTTATTACTGCTATGGAAAAGCATTTGTTTGTGTAATAAGACAAATGGTTTCCTTCAAAGGTTACACTGTACTCTATATATTACATCTATTTTCTTTATTTTTCCTGAAGTGTGAAGGTCACTGTACTTAAAGTAAGCGCATGTTTCTGGCTATGTAGATGGCCCCATTGCAAAATAATTTACACAGAGTATCAATATAATATTCCTACATGAAGCAGGAAAGTACTTTTTTGTAGACTATAGATGGCAAAGCAGGAACAGCAACTGACATGTCAGAAGAAACCTGTGGGTGACTTCAGTGGTCAGTGGGTCACAACAGAAAAATTACATGACTTTCCCCAGAGTTATACAGAAAATTTGCAATGCTGCTGGCAACTGAGTATTTGTCTTCTATGTTTCTTTACTGTGAATTTATTACTACTGTGATGGAGGCAAAAAAGAAGTAATAGTTAAATGTTGGACTTCTTATGACCTTAAAGGTCCCCCAGTTTTTCCGTCAGCTTCAGCAGATGTGTAAAGATCTCATTAACACTGAATATAATCTGTCTTGGGCTGCCATGCTTGTTCACTGCTCAGCATACCTCATTTATCGCACTGTAGCAATACTTAGGAAGTGCCTGGGGGTCAAAATGCTTGTGGAAAAAGGTATATAATCTTCTACCAGCTGAGTAAGTCCACATTAGATAGTGTACAGGATTCCAGAAGTGTCTTTCTCATGCTGGGCACTGAGAAGGTATTTTGAATAGATGATCCTGTGCTAACATTCATTCATCATATTTGCAGCATTATCTCACACACATAACTCAAAACCCTTAATACAATGGCTTAAAAAGAAACAGCCTTGCTCTGAAGGAATTTTAATTTGATGTAAGAAAAAATAGTCCTACCTGTCCATTAAAGCCAGCCCCATCTGTAGATTTGAGAAACTCATTGTAAACTTGATTGGCTCTGGTGATCACCATGGCAACAGCATCTTGGTACTGAGGGGATGAAACAGCCAGCAAAGGCAAGGCAGCCAGTGGGATGTGGTCTTCACTGCTGCTGAGACAGCTCTCATCATAACTGTAGGGATTTAGGCTAGAGAAAGACATGATATTATTGGGAAAACTGCAAGAGCCAGCACAGAGCATGAGAGAATGGTAATTAACAGAAACGGGTTGGGCTATTGCAATTCACAATGAGAGAACAAAGGAAGGATCATTTTCTCACAGAATTCAATTGCTTAAAAAAAAAATCAAGGAGTTACGGCTTTAGTTGAATGAGATTACACTAGAAGGCATTTCTGTAGTTAAACTACTTGATACTATTGTGCCACATACAAGTAGACATAACTTAGAATGGCAATGATATGATTAAATTTCAGCCTGTTTTCCCCCTCATGTAACAACTTACACCATCATAGAGAAGGATCCAACCATCACAATGGAATATTGTTTCCTAGAACACAACTGCAACAGCACTATTGCTCAAGAGCATATAAAGACATTTTTCCCAGTGACCCATCTTTTCAAAAAGATGAAAGAAAGATGCACATATTCTCAAATCACAGCAAATGTCTGCACGGTAACACTTGGTAAACAGGCCGTGACCCAATCAAAAATACAAGCTCAAATTTGAAGAACAGCAGCTTTACTTTAGCTTGGATATGCATCCTGCAAGTTTCTCAGTAAATCTGCTGATTAATTCTTGACTGATTTTTACTGATGAGTGGGGAAGACAACTCAGAGAGCTAAAGATAAAAGGCACATCAGTGTGTGCCAGATTCTCCTACAGTAAATTGCCTTTTGGAGATCAAAGGAAAGTTGGAAGTATTTTGGATAATTTAGTACATCTGAAGTTCATCCAAAGCCACAGGTGGCAACTTGAACACTATTTTGTATTCACTTTCTTTGGGAACTTCATGGGCTATCACAATATTTAAAAGCAAGTTGCCTGAAATATAGTTAGTCTGTGTCTTTGCTAAAACTCACATCCTTGAGACTATTACCAGGGTAATGGAGGAAGAACAGAAGATTTGCCGGTGTGTGTTATGTCCCAAGTCTCACTGGTCTTTTCCACACTTGCCTCTGGCTGAAGCACTCCAGTGATATGGTATTTTTCATCTGAAGTAGTATAACAGCTTCTATGTCCTTGAGCTCAGCTGGTCTGCCAAGCTCTATCAATTAAAACAGTTTCATTTTACCAGTTGATTAGATCATCCAAACGCACAGCAGATATACAGTTATGAATACTAACTCTCAGAAATTAAAACTGAACCTTCAAAACCCACAAAAAAAGTTTCCTTTACTAATAAAATCAGCAGATAATACCTCAGAAAGGGAAAGGGACAAACACGTGAGGAAAAAAAGCTTATTAAATGAATGTTTGAAATGGTACAAAATACCTGCATATGTTTTCATAATAAAAATAAAATGCAAACAATATTCAAAAGAGAATCACACAAACCAGAGCTGATGGGAAAGTAAATAAAGCTGGCAATGTATTGGTTTTTTTCCCCATAGCTGAAGCAATATAGATCAAATTGAAATAGAGACAATTAATCACCTCTAAGTGGCTTAGAAATGACCGTGTGTTTTTTTTAATTCCAATGTAATTTATTATAAATGTTTAGTCACAGAGACCTCCATTGTTATAGCAGACAAACAGAAAGGGAAGAAACATCCAGACCCCTGAAAGAGTGTACGGAAGAGATGAAGTTGTTTGTCGGAGCGGACATGCTCCTGGAAAAGTTGGCAGCCCATGGCTTGGACAGGGGTACTCTATGATGGGTTAAGAACTGGCTGGAGGGCCAGGCCCAGAGAGTGGTGGTGAAAGGTGCTGCATCCAGTTGGGATCCAGTCACCAGTGGTGTCCCCCAGGGATTAGTGTTGGGCCCAGTTCTGTTTAATATCTTTATCGATGATTTAGATGAGGGGATTGAGTGTACCATTAGCAAATTTGCAGATGACACCAAGTTGGGGGGGAGTGTCAATCAGTTGGAAGGCAGGAGGGCTCTGCAGAGGGACCTGGACAGACTGGAGATGGTCTGATTCCAATGGGATGAAGTTCAACAAGTACAACTACCGGGTCCTGCACTTTGGCCACAACAACCCCCTGCAGCGCTACAGGCTGGGGACAGAGTGGCTGGAGAGCAGCCAGGCAGAAAGGGACCTGGGAGTTTGGATCGACAGGAAGCTGAACATGAGCCAGCAGTGTGCCCAGGTGGCCAAGGCCAATGGCCTCCTGGCCTGTATCAGGAACAGTGTGGCAGCAGGACCAGGGAAATGATTCTTCCCCTGTACTCAGTGCTGGTGAGGCTACACCTGGACTACTGTGTCCAGTTCTGGGCCCCTCAGTTCAGGAAGGATATTGAGGTGCTGGAGCAGGTCCAGAGAAGAGCACCCAGGCTGGTGAAGGGACTTGAACATAGCTCCTATGAGGAGAGGCTGAGGGAGCTGGGGTTGTTGAGCATGGAGAAGAAAAGGCTCAGGGGAGACCTCATCACTCTCTACAGCTACCTGAAAGGAGGTAGTAGCCAGGTGGGGGTTGGTCTCTTCTCCCAGGCAACTATCAGTAAGACAAGCAGGCACGGTCTTAAGATCTGCCAGGGGAGGTTTAGGTTGGATATTAGGAAGAAATTCTTTACAGAGGGGGTAATCAGGCACTGGAACCCATCTCTGGAGGTATTTAAGAAGAGACTGGATGTGGTACTTAGCGCCATATCTAGTAATGACGGTGGTAGTGGATCAAGGGGTGGTCTTGATGATCTCAGAGGTCTTTTCCAACCCGGTTGATTCTATGATTCTATGCTGAGTACTAGTGCTGAAGCTGAGACAAACAGGTAAAACATCAGTGCTGAAACTCAAAAGAGCACAAATCTTGTTATCTTGAAAATCACCAGCTTGGACACATGACGCACAAAGGCTGGAGTCGAAATCACTGAGGGTAAGAGCCTGACAGATAAAGTCACCAATGTTAGAACCCAACACCTCACTGACGAAAGGCAGCAAATGACTCGGCTGCAAGACAGACCTGGCCTTCCATGGTGGTTAAGAGCATGCATAGCTCCCAGGGAAGAAGAGACTGACAGCATCTCTAGCAGGGATAACTCAGACTGCACTATGGAGAGGGGTTGAGAGGAGCAAGTAGAGGGGGAAATCACCTATATGGTAACATTTGTCTGGATAACTATCGCACAACACTTTTTTTCAGTTATGCTTTGGTTATCTGCATTCCATGCTGACAGTCCTGGGGACTTGCTATTGTTGTTTCTGAATGCCAGAATATGCATTTACTTCCTCCATTTTCAGGATTAAAAAAAAAAAATACAAACAAGAAAGAAGAGTATAAAACATGTTTTGTTTTGGCCTTTTTTTCCTTCTCTCTCCTTCCCACTCCCTCTAAATTTGCAATGATTATCCTCCAGTTTGGCTAATACTATAATTTAGAAGCTCTACTCTGAGGTGTGAAACAATGTACGCTCATCAAATCATATACTATAAAAAGCATAACAGTTGATCCACTCTGGGATATTTTTCTCCCTGAAAAGGGAAGAAATGGCTTGAAAGTCATCTATCTGGAACAAGAATGTGCCTTAGTTTTAACCCTTTTTTGTTCTTAGCCACAAAGATAGAGCCAAGTGTGACAGTAGATCAATCACACATTTTAAATTTATGTAGGTTACATAAAGAATGTATTTTTTATTTATATGAGAGACAGAGGAACCTGAAATGATGAGTGTAGATGAGAAAAGATCAGTTTAAACAATCTGAAACATTTACTACATGGAGTAATTTTGCCCTGAAAGATCCCTTTCCTTTAAGCCACTATTTGCAAGGCAGAGAGAATTGCATAGGTACATTCACATAAAAAGTTCCAGTGGAATCCCTCTGAACCTGGTCACTCTGCACACAAGGTACAGCATAATTCAAAACCTATGCCAAGGTAAAAACCAGGTTGTATTACCCTGGCACACACTCATAGTGTATCTTCAGAAAACAGAGGCCACATTCAAAACAAAAAAGAAATCTTGTACTGCTGCTTAGTCAGTCATCTGGCTCACCCTCAGTGAAACACTACAGTAATTAAAACTACCCTTCCTCCACCACAGTTTGCTAAAGGGAATGTTTACAACAACTTTTATGTTCCACAACTGCATTCTGGAGTTTTGGCTATGAAAGTTGCTAGCATGAAGCTGCAGAAATGTGAGACCAGAGAATTGTCTCTCTTTTTGTCAGCCCCAAATAGGTACGACAAGCAGCTCTGCACAAGAACATACCACTGCAATATCAATGTTATGCCAGTGCCCAGAATGATTCTATAGGAAATTCAAACATCGAGGATGGTGTTTTTCATTCTGTTTGGACACTCTGTGCTGCAACAAGAGGAAATAAAGAAACAGAGGCAGAAAGTCAAAGTTGTGTTCATTTGGGCTGCCAGCACACACTCTTCTTTCTGCTCTACCAGCTATTCCTCCAGATAGCTGAGACCTGCAGGCACTGCACTATGGCATAACAAAGGGACACTGAGTTCTTTGAGTACATGTAACTCTCAAGGGGTACAGAGGAAAAAAGCTTCTTAAACAATGGCCCAAATGGGCAAGGGTGATCTTCCAAACACTCCTCCATATTTCACCTCCTCTTCTATCATTCCTCTTACTTTACAGGGCAGCACCTTGGACACGCACACACTTCTTTCCTGGTTGTTTCCATGTATTCCCCCTTGATGCCAAGAGTCAGGCACAACTTCAACCAGTCTGGTCTGCACCCTGACACCTCTTCCTCCTATAGGCCCGTGACAGCTTCAAGCCCAGCTAGTATTTCAGAACTTTCATGTATTCTCCATCTCTCCTGTCTGACATCTGGACAGCAGGTGTCACCATTCCTGGATCTTATGGCCCAAAACATAGTTGTAGACCTCCTCAACTCTTCTGCAGGGTTTTCTGCTCTACATGAGCTTCAAATGTAACCCTAGGCACTATATTGCAACACAAAGACTGTAAAAGCAGTCTTTTGGACTGGGTTTTGTCTGGGAAGCCCCAGACAAAACAAAGGGAATTTTCTTTCTGCTTAGAAAAAAAGAAATTAGGAAAATGTTTGTTTCCTCCTCTCACCAGAGTTCACCAGTTAATTCTAGTTTGCACTTGTAGAAGAGTTGAAGCAGTCCCAAGAGCATGTGCTTCTTTCTTCCTTCTCTATCATGCCGCTGAACGTACTAATGTCAAGGAAAACATCTCTAAGGTAAGAAATGTTACCCGAAAACATTCGCTCATTTAATGAGTGAATTCCAAGACCCAAAAACCATGTAGGAAGAGCAGCTACTGAAGTGGATACATCCAATAATAAATGTTTTTTAAAACAAATTTATCCACTTGGAAAAGGATGAAAAATTGTTCCAAGTCTTGCACTCAGTAAAAGAAGGATTTGCAACACTTCGTTATGAAAAAGATGGGTCACAGAAAGCCATTCAAAACCACAATGCAAAGCCAAACATCAGGAAACGCAAATCAACTTACTTGGAAACAAGAGAGAAAGCTGCTGAACAGATTGCTGGGCAGGGAACAAGTCTCATTAAGATATGGCCCAAAGAGGCAGGGAAATGGGCTCGGGTAACCTTCTCAAACACAGAACTGAAGGTGTTGATGTCTGCCAGCTTGCTGCTGTGGTCACCACCTGCAGTGTCTAAGATGTTCCCTCCATGTAGGATCAAAATTAACACATGAGTTTTGCAGTTCTGGTGTTGAACTCCTTCCTGTAAGAAAAAGAGGAAATAAAAGGGGATGGAGCATTTTTATGGACATTGTTGGTATACCTCGTGTCACCATGAGCAGTGTTTTTTTTCCTCCCACATCCAGTGTGATCGTTTTGTATATTTGCCTTCACTGGAAGGGCGGGGGGGAGGTGCGCGTGTGTGCATGCCCCATCATCCATTTAATTCAAGTATGTCTGACCCACGTAGAGCCCACTGCTCTGACAGAAAACCTCTGCAGCACAGATGTAGGTTTCATATCAACAAAGATTAAAACAGCTTTGTGTACTTTAAATACTCTGAGACTGGAGAAGAATTTCAACCTCCGCAGGCAGTCTAAGCAATCATCTGTCTAGGTATCCTGAACGATTGCTTCATTTACTGGTAAGGTTCTCATTCAAATCATCAAAGGTTCTAAAAAGCCAAATTTCTCTGCCAATGAGAATATCCAGGAAAAGCAGATGATACAGCTATCTCACCCTCTTGAGACTGGCAGTTTCCTATTAAAATGAAAGATGGGGGTAATTTACCCAGACACTTATTGAAAAAGTAAAAAGTTTATCACTGCTGATATCCATAAAACTCACCAATAAATTTACAAATATGTGAATATGCATAGACAATAATAAGCTACATAGAATAAACAAGGTATTTTCTACTTTAGACTGGAAAAGCATTTTGAATGTCTCACAACTCCACTTTTTTTTCTTTTTTATCCCTTGAGAGTTATGTGCATTCAAAGAACTGAGTAATATATTAAAAGATTAGACTTTTTGTTTTTAAATCTTGACTGCCATTTTCTTTTCACTTTGGATCACACGATTCCTGACGACTTTTAGTTCCTGACCAAACACAAACACAGAACTCAAACAACAGTAATATTTCTTGTACTTGTCTAAGGACTGTTAATTGCTAGATTGGGTGACTCCCTGAGAATCAGGCAATGTTCTGGACACTTTATTCTTAAGTTCTGGAATTAAGAGAAATTGGTAACTTTAGCATTTGTATAATGGTGACAGAGAAATGGCTGAAAATGAGAGAATTGTAAGTTATTCCATAAAGCCACTATCTCTGTTCAGCCCACGAATTTTAGTATTCAGCAGAAGTATTAATTGTGAAGGCATTTTGCTCACTTGACTTATATCTGCTTAAATACAGGATCATATAAGCTTTTTTAAGGTTCCACTTCCCCTTGCATTCATTTACAATTTCCTTCTCCATATGGTTTCATTCCAGTTATTCAGAAGAGAAATTTAGTTTCCTTTAAAAGGTAAGAGTAGTTCCTTCCACAGTCTGCTTGCAAATAAGCAGCACTGCTGATGGGCTGGTGGAACTGAAAGCTTCGAAACAAGTCTCTCAGCTGGAGTTAACTGGTATCTTTCACAGGAAGACTCAAATGGAATGCAATTAATTTGCCTCTCAGCAGTAACTCAGTCATGACTGAGACAAGGGGCTCAAGGGCTAATCAATCAATGACTATCATAATTTTCAGTAGGAGTGGAATTCTTCAAAAATGTAAAAGCAGACATTTCCATTACCTGTCCTATGTGGGGACAGAGGACCTTAATCAGTTTGTTGGAAGGACCACAACTTGTTTAGATTCTTTCCTGCTTCTGAAAAAAGGCAATTGTGTTATTATCAATTTCATGAGTGTTGCTGAATCTGCTTCAAAAAACCTGCATTTCCACTCAAGTACTAAGCAGATACAACAATTTCTCTTCAGAGAACTGGGTCATATTTCCACCTAAGTATTTCCAATGTCTTAAAAAGGTTGTGATGATTTTCAGTGATTGCATGTGCACCTACCAAACAAGGAAAAGCCATCAAACGAGTTTATAATTCCATAATATGAGAGTATTTCCACATGTCTAATCTTTAGAAATCACAGCTTGTTTTAGGAAATAATCTTACCTCACTGTCCTCGTGTATTTCAACACTACCTTGTGTAGGGAACCTTTGTTTTCTTAAAGAGGTTCTATATAATTCACCTGAAAGGAAAAGAGGCATACTGGTCATATAAATATTTGTCTACCACGTCTTTTACAGACAACTACATGTAAGGCACATTTCTAGTTTCAAGACAGAAAGTTCCATTCATAGGAAATCCTGTGGACAAACAGAACAATCCACAATATTAGAGGCTCTTCTATTCTTAACAGCAACATTTAGAAAAGGATTCAGGTCCTTATACCGAGGTGTGTAGTACCAGTACAGCTGCTGTTGATCTGTGCCTTTCTGAAATAGCAGCAGAAGAAGTCACCTGAGGTTCTGTTCATCCCAAACAGCCATCTTAGGTACTCTGATATGTCTTAAATAGCACAAAACACCTATATATAGGCAAGTGAATTAAGTCTTTCAAGTTCTGCAAAGACCTTCAGGATGCAGTTCTTCCACAAACCTCTGTGACTACCTAGGGAACTCCATTAAGTAACTGCAGTGCTCCATTACCATGATGCAAAATAGGAGTAACAGCCCATAGAGCAAAAGAAAATTTCTCCTCAAAAAGTCCTGTAACCTGAAAAATAGGAAGTGATATTGCAGAGAAACACATTCCTTTGCTAATACCATTTCACAAGATCACGCATGCAACATCCTCAATTATAAACACAACAATGAAAATGAAACCACAATGAAAGTCTCAGAGCATGACCAAACATGTGGACCAAAGGCCCGCTTGTCTGCTCTTTGGGCAGACAGGCTGGGAAGCAGCCTGCTCTAAGCAGTGGAACGTTTCTGATATCAGCTTTAAGACCATGAGATTTTCCACTGTCTTGCCTCAGGAAACAAAACTTAGGAAGCTTTTCTTTGCAGAGAGTGGGGTCAAACCCTGGAAAAGGCTTCCTAGAGAGGTGTCAATGTCCCAAGCCTGTCAGTGTTTAAGAGGCATTTAGACAATAATCTTAATAATATGCCTTTACTTTGGGTCAGTCATAAAGTGGTTAGACAGTTGGACTACAGGATCAACGTAGGTTCCTTCCAACTGAAAATTTTCTATTCTATTGTATTCTATAACTTCTGCAACTGGCTATGAAAAGGTTTGCCCTCTGAACAAAACTTCTCTGTGCTTAAGGACAGAGAAGTTGATATAGCACTATCCATTTTTTCTGTTTTGCACCGTGTTTTTTCAGTCATTGAAGAGGATTACTACAGGTTCTTTCTGGTCTCCTCATAATGCAGTATTTTTTTCTACCATTGCATGTTACCTGGGAAACAGCTGTAAGATGAAATTTGATTAGCAAATGTTGCGGTGGTCAGTTCCTTGGGGAGGGCAAATGTGCTTTACTCTTCTGTCAACAGTGATGGAATTCCACACAAGATGCTAATTCTATCCCTGTAACAACTCCTCCTCCCTCTCCTGTGGGGAAGAGGAAGGCTTTGAAACCATCCTGAATCATGATAGCAGAAATTTGTCATTCAAAATGTCAGCTCTCTGCAGTGTTGCAGACTTAAAATTCCACTCGTCTCACAAAGATTAGCTATTCCTAGAGAAACTGTAAGGCCTTGCTCCTTCTATGACAGATACAAGTTTTAGGAGTTAAAGAGAGAGGATTGTACTAAATAATAACACAAAGTAGATAACAGACAGCTTTTGGGATCTAGACACCTTTTCCTCTGTTTCTTCCAGCACACCAGAAGAAAATAAATACACCACATAACGCTATAGATGACTCAGTTTACTTTTCCTTGGCATTTGGAGTTCATACCCTCTTTGTGGATCCACTCCATCTGTTTACAGGTCGTCTGCCAGACCCTAAGGCAGTGTTCACCAAGGACATTGCTTAAGCAGGGTCTGCTCAGGTTATTCTAAAAGCACTGAATTAAGTCCAAAACAAATTTTGAACACTCTACTCTTCTGCACTAGGAGCAGGTTCTACCAATATCATTCCTTAGAGCCACTGGAAATTTATTTAGCCTCTGTGTCTACATTTCTCCATATTTAAAATTGAGGTAATTATTCTTGCCTTTCTGATAGGCAAGGATTTAATGTAGTAGGCATTCAATACCTGTATAAAATAAAAGGGTACCATAACAAAAACAAAATACCGGAAAGCAAACCTAACAGAGACAAGGTACACCCATAAACCCTGAGCTTGCACCAAATGCAATTGCTTTCTGGAACTCCCTGCAATTTAATGCTGACCTCATTATTAAAAAGCTATGACTACAGTATGAAATCTGTAAGTTCCATTTTTTGGGAGATCATCAGCTGACGCCATGTAAAACATCAGGCTGCATTATAAAAACCAGTAGGAACTATTGAACATTTTTTTTTAGGACTATGTATCAGTTCATTGAGAACCACACTATGTAGTCAAATGGTTCTTTGCAACAAGTAGTATCAAAACAAATTAACATGAAATAGGTGAGTAAAACCAGAAAGTGACCCTTGCCTATTGCTTATCAGATGCTGAACTATAAGGACGACAGCATACAGTCCTAAATTAAATGCAACCCCAATACAGAAACTGCTTTTCAGTCTAGGAGTCAACAGCCAACAGTCAACAGGAACAGTGGTTGTCATCTAAGCCAACTATTTTATGACAAGGGAAGAGATTTATCAAGCATTTCTGCCAACAGAAACATACACTGCTACTGCAGATACCACCAAGCCAGTGTATCTGGTAGGAATTGTTTTAGACTCAAATTCCCACTGGAATTGCTACATAAATATATATTTATACACACGCATATACACATTCACCAGTGACTTAGGTACCAAGAAAGCTGTGCGTCTACAGCCTTGCCTGAAGTAACTCATAGCCCAAACAGTCTCCCTATGATCATCAGATCTCAACATCAGCATGAGAGGAGAGCCAGGTGAAAGGAAAAGCTTGGACAGTGATTCAAGACCCCAAGGCAGCCATGAAAGGCATCAGTTCAACACACAACCAAAAAAGTAAGTCCCCTGAATCTAGGAGAATAGATTCATATGATCAATTCCAAACTTCTGAGATCATGAGGTACAGTTCAAAGGCATACTAAGAATCAAGCCAGGTCCTCTTTTTTTTTTTTTCCCCCACAGACAATTTCAAATTTCCCTAATACTTTGTCATATTAATTAAGGAAAAATTAAAGGTTAAAAAAAAAAAAAACCCACAACAAAAAAAGAACTTGGTTTAGCTACAAAGCATAAGGTGCTAACAGTCCCAAAAGAAAACTGCTATTCCCATGACTGCGCTCCCATGAGAAATGATGCTGTTTCTTGCCATCTGCTGTGCTATTACTAGTCATTCATAATGATAAATCCATCATAAGAAATATGTTCACATGAAGGCTGTGACATATGCTTTCTATTGACAAATGATAAAGAACACTGTAATACACTGCAGATGCAGTTTTGCAAACTGCACTGTTTAGCGGAAAATAATGGCATGTGTCACTGAGCCCTATCCTGCTCTGGAAGCCACAACATGAGATAGTGCCCATGTTAACTTCCATGATTTCTTCACTGAATGAGTCTTGCACACATATGCTACCAGATCTTGTACATGACTACTACAGAGCACTGGAAAACAAGAAACACACAGGGTGAGCCAAGGATCTCTAACTCCCAGTGCTCCCCAGCTCCACTTATCAGACCAAGCCAGATGAGAAAAATATGATTTCCAAAAGGGAAGGGGTTGGCACAGAGCGACAGCATATGCTTGTAAACACAGCTGCAGGAATAAAGAACAGACATTTCACTGTGAACTCCAGGAAGGCAATGGACAATTGTTCCCAGAGAGAACTGTGATGAACATTAACACCACGCATTTCTTCAAATCAATTCCTGCTCTTTAGCAAGCAATGAAAAAGTACAAAGATCAACAGCAGAGCCACATGTAAATATATTCCCTGAAGCTGGACACCAGTAGCGAAGAAACCCTAGCAACACCAGGCTTGGCACTACTTTTTACTCCTATAGGACTCAGAAATTTTAACAGCAACACTTCTTGCACCTCTTTAAGCAGAGATAGGAGAAAGAAGTCCAGAGAACAAAGCACTGAAGGCTCCTACACTCAATATTCAGCCATGTTGTACTGTCCTGTATGAGCTATCGTGTACAGCAGCAGCTTCACCCTCCAGTGCTCTACCTCTGCCACTCCAGCCAACACTAAAAGGTACTAATGTGCTAGATAGTGTCACAGGCACTTTCTTGGTACATTTTCATAATCCACATTGAAAATAATGTAATTTAAAATAAAACTTAAAAGAATCCTAGTCCCTCCACATGCATTTCTCTTCTCAAGGTAACAGATCACTTGGTTAACAAGTCTATTATATTACTATCTCTAGTTACTGAACAGCCTCAGTACAAAGAAAAATGAGAACACCTTCAACTCACGTTGTTTTTCCTGCAGAAAGCCAGATGAGCAAAATGCAGGCTCTTCACCTGCAAAAAGGAAGAAACCACAATGTAAACTAAAATCACTTTACATGAACATCAAGCTCTTTACTTTTTCTACTGTGTTGCAGTAAATATTTTGCAACTGACCACTACGGTAATTTCCAAAACACCCATTGGCTTCAGTGGGAATAGCTCAGCATATGACACACTTGACAACTGCTGTAATCAGTTCAAAGTGGTTAGCCTTGAAGCTAGATTTTACCTTTTATATTCAATCTATTTGATAACCTGCAGCATTAGCCACTGAATCTCTAAATAACTAAGAACTGGCATAACTTACCTAGCAATACAAATCAGATTCCTATTCCAAATATTTAATTAGCAGCTTTTTAAAGCATGTTTCCATCCTTCCATTCCCTCCCACAGTCCACCCGTCCAAAGAAAGTTGCAAGTACAAAGGGATTTTCTCATATTTAAATACAAAAACCTAATAGACACAAGAATATGGGAATAAAGACCCTTTCTGTAGATCAAGTCTTCCTACAGCACTCCAGCCATTTCTACCATGGAGGGTAAACACCTTTGCCATCATTCCACCACAAGAGAAACCAAAGCCAAAAGGCATCACATCAGCCTACATCTATCATCAAAGCTGGGATGGGAACACAAGTCTCTCCATCACTTCTCTAGATTCCTTCTTCAGAGGCCCAGCAACATTTTTTCCTGGAGTCTACCTACCCCTTGAGTATACGCACAGCATCAGCTGCTGGGGCACAGCTGACTCAACAACAGAGACTATGTTCTGTTACATTGTTTGGCAACATAGATCAGACTGGCAAATGACAAGCACCAGGGAAGCTGGTGGCACCCCATGATATGTGAATAAAACAGTACACGTTCTGCCATCGCCTGCCCACTGATTTTCTTGTGTTCAAATGAAAGCTTCTGCTCAGTGCCTTAAGAAGACTATTGGTTCTCATCTCATGAATTAAAAATCCTGTTACACTAAATGCAACTAGGGTTAATATATAAAAACCAAGAATAATGTTTTACTCCTCTGATGGATGCAGCAGTACAGAATAAGAACTCTGAAACTATTCTCTTTTTCTTCAGATGCCCCAGCTATCACAATTGACTTGGTTTCTAAGAGACTAAAAAGAAAAGAAAAAATGACAGGTTTTTAATATGCAGCAAAGAAATCTGCTTTAATTCATTCTTTGTGCAAGCAGTACTTGCAAGTACACTGCTGTACTTCACTTTTGAAGAATGACAATTATTTGAGTTAGCTACTTTCCAAATTTCACATACAATCTCTTTTCTTTTTCAGTTCCTCACCAGGACAATTCACAGACTCTTGTTCTGACAAAGAGGTTGGGTCACAACTGTTACCTGCTTTCAACTTACTACGGAAGAAATTCACAGAGACATTCATTGCTGAGGCAAAGCAGCCACCAATCACTGCCTTGGGATGAATGTGTGAAACTCTCAGGAATATAAGAGCTAAAAGGAAAAACCAGGCCTCTATGCCAAGAGCACAGACCAGCCTTCTGAAGTGCTTGTATACACAATTCCACTAATTACAACATGGAAAACAATGTGTTTCATGAAGAAAACTCCTTCCCATGGCAGCTTTGATCGGCTGTGCAGATAGAAACTCTTCTTCTCAAAAGAACAGACAGAAGGTGAAGACACTTCCACTACAGAACTAAAATTCATTTTTATTTGGTAGATTCATGAAACAGGCATTGCTGTTCTTAAAAGCCTTACTAATAAATTTAAACTTTGAAATAAGTTTTTAACACGTAGATTTAAGCCTTTCAGTACGTCTTAATGTGCCTGTTCCACATTTTTCATCTCACAAGAGATTGAACAGATTCTGAGAAAAAAGCCACTTCTCTGCCCTGGAATTGAAATATGATCTGCAATTACTCTATTTGCATGCTACTTAAAAAAAAAATCAGCAAGCAGTTTTTTGGGCAGTGTTGAAACCAGAATAGAAGTTGCCTTACTTTCCCACAAAGGATTGGTAACACCAGTACAAACAAACATATCTATTCACCAGAGAAAGCAACTGCAGGTAAAAATAAGATTCACAAAGTTACCTTTAGTGTCATGCTATGGTACACTGCCATTACACATACATGTAGATTTGCAGACCTGTAGCCATTTCACATTCATGTAGCTGTCCTCCTGAGATGTCAGAGGGTATTTTGTACGAGTCTTGTCTCTCATTTTGCTCTTGCCCAAGATTACACTGATAACGTGATCACACTGATAATGGGATCAGTGTCAGAGGCCAGCACAGCAAAATAGTTGTGTACTTCAGCAACAGGGAGGTATCCAGGGAATCGCTCTTTTCTTTCTTCCCCCACATATTCAGTCTTACAGTACTGGCTACAAGAGTGCCAAGAGCTTTACGGCACATGGTTTTCTGTCTTCTAATCATCTGAATTCATGTAACAACACAACCATGCTACTGGGACAAACAATGTTCATGCTCCACTTTAGAATATGGCTTTCGCCTCGCAAGAATACTGTGAAAATTAACTTCTAAATAGAAACATCTGTTTTGGTAATGTTGTGTTGTGTTTTTGTTTTTTTTTTTTTTAATGCCATGGTAAATTTAACACTGGTGTGAACACAGTTATGTCAAACTTGGGAAAACAAAAAGAGAGGAAAGGAGGTAATACACCTACAGATGGTATGACCCTCTGGATGAGAATGGCAGCCAGGGAAACTTTACGCCCAAAGAAACTGATGCAAGAACACATGCTGATTTCAGCACTGGACCGGATCTTAATGCAGACTGAAAAAGGAAAAGGGAGGGACTGCAAGGAAAGCAATACTCTCTGTAGCAGGACTCAGCTCTCAGCTAAAAAATATCTTAAGCAGCTAGTTTAAGCTTCCTCCACTTTGCATATAATGTCTGACCTGTATTCTAGAACAAACAGCATCAGAAAATTTATTTATGGCAGTTGCACAACCTGCCCTACTATAAACTGCTAGCAGAGATGATTTACAGAAATCCAATCCACTGCTTCTCTCTAAAACCTGCTGCTAGAAGTAAAAGCTGTTCTCTGTATGAGCCATCTGATGTGTTTTGGAATGTTGATGACTACTGCAGTTTTCATCCTTCCCTTCCACTATTCACTAAGCCAAATATTCTGTTTGCCATTCCTCACATTAATAAGCAGCAAATGTTATTGCAATAAACTTAACAGCAGTATAAACACTACAGTTAGTGATGTAAAAATACCCTTTAATTAATTATATGAGTCCAGGAGGGCATGACAAGGAGAGGTAAATCACATGCTGCTGGGGGGAAGGAAGAGAGCAGTTTGTTTACACAGAACATTCACAGTGGACAAAATTAGGCAAGGAAGCCCTCAGAGGAGAAAGAGAGAGAAGGAGAACCACTAGTAGGAGGTAAAACTCACTGTTAGCAATCATGAGGGTTTAGAGGTTTTTGTGTCATATTGAGTGTTTTGATTGTTGCATAAATGTTGGAGAACCTCTGAGATGCATGGCCGGTGTACCAAAGGGGACTGAATCAGTGAGCCAGTCAAAAATGAGACCAGATGAAGAACTCAAAGACACCTCAGTCTGCACCCGCCTTGCACAGAAACACTGGTTTCCTGTGGAAGTTTAATGGATCCAACTCAATGTAGCTCATAATTTCAGATACTGTGGGTTAGTATCCACATTACAACTGACAAGTATCTTAACAAAAAGTCTAAACTGTGCAATGCAAAAAATTAACCATTCTCATTTAAGTGGAGAATGGTAATTCGTAGCCAAATTAGCATATCTGAAATATTTTTTCTGTATTCCTTTGATCTATTAAAAATGCAACTTTTTTTTAACATTAGAGTTACAAAATTCAACAAAATGAGACTTGCACAGAATTATACTGAATTACTTTATATACAGGAAATAATCAAGTGAGAAATAAATATACATATCTGACATTATTGTAAAGGGAGATTATGCAAATATACAAATTATACAAGGAAGGAGAACAAGAGAAGAAAAACAATCTCTCCTAAAAAAAATTACCTTAGCAGCTGCATTCCTGCCATACTCTGCAGTTACCTCAGGGTTGACTGCTAGCACCTTAGCAGTTATCCTTGCCATAAATGCATGTAACAATTGCACAGGGAGCTGCAGGCTCTGCTTTATTCCTAACCAAGCACCTTAAGTACATATTTAAACACTGTACAACCTTTATTGTTTACTTAAACCAAGATTAACTTTAACAGACTCTGCTCTCCATTTTACTGCTGTAAGTCCAGTTTATTCAGTAGGGTAACTCTTTACAGTAGTCTTTGCCAAGGATCAAAATGTAGTGGTGTCAAAAAGTGCTGCAAGTACAGGATGTCTGCTGCACATTTCCTAGAAGCATAAAAATGCTGTAGTAATGCTTGTTTCAAATTAGTGTGAAATATAATAGTATAACTGTATGGTGCTCTTAGTTATAGAACAGTAGAATCATGGATCGGGTTGGTTTGGAAGGGACCTTGAAGATAATCGAGTTCCAACCCCCTGCCATGTAGTCATATGGTTTAATTTTAGGTAGTCCTGTGAGGAGCAGGGAGTTGGACTTGATCCTTATGGGTCCCTTCCAACTTGAGATATTCTATAATTTCATAAATTAGCTTACTCCACAGATGTATATCAATCTTAACCTTGACCAAAAATGTTATTCTACTCTTCCAGTTCTGTTCAGTGCCTTGTGGATATCATGACAGGAAAACAGACAGAGCAGTTGAGGAAATCAAGAGGAAATTGCCCCTGACACCTCTTAAAAACAGGCTGCTTCACATATAAACCAGCCTTTTATTCCCCCTTAACAGTATGGGAAAGATGAGATCCAAAAGATATGATATCAGGCAGCAAAAAAAAATCTTCACTCAGCTATGCACTTGCTGTACTTAGAAATCTCAGGAAGTATTTTTTAAAGGGGAGTTACAAAGAATAGCTGTAATGGTGGGGAGTCATAGTGTATGCCACAAATTCAACAGCATTTTATGGTCTACTGTGTAACA